ACAAGAAGGTCTCTGCTGATGTTACAGGGGCCTTCCTTTCTTGAAGGTTTTTCCTTTTCCTTCGCTCCCACTCAGGGCTCTGGATGCTCAAGGATTTTGCTCAGTCTGCCTTTCAAGGCAAACTCACCTGATTCAGATTTCCAGAGCAAACAAAACAGATGGGAGCACAGTTAGCCCTTGGTTTTGGCTCATCTCTGAATTTTGCCATAAAGTTTTCTGCTTTATAAAAAAAGTGTACAAAATGTGCATATGAATGCATCTGCTTGGGTTGCAATGCCTACCGAAATGTGCCTCCTAGGATAAAATGCATATAAAAGGGCTGTGCTGTTTTTCTAGAAAAAGAGGAACTCACCATGAACACCTCCCTTGTTCTCTTATAATGGCAATGGTGCCCAACTAAGAGCTGCCAAAACTGAGTTCTGGCTGAGAAAAAGCCCTGTAAAAAAGGTATTTTATGAAGAAATGCATAAAAATATATTATTGTGTGGAAAATGTGTTCAAAGTTGTGAGTGTCCATGCTTCTTTAAAAAAAAAAATTATAATCATTGTAGATAGATGCAAAAACAGAGCAGAATTATGAAGGACTATCTGTGAAATGACTATGGACAAGAAATCGATGGCTTGGTCCATCCCGACTAAAGGCTTGGTGTGTCCTAACAGGGAAACGCTTTTATTCCTTCTCCCTAACATAACTGTTCTCACCGCAAATACCAGGATAAGAGGGTGTGTCTTCCAGCTAGACCTGGAGCTCAGTGGGAAATATCTCATACTCACAACGACCTGTGGGAAACCCACAAACTTTGAGGACAAGACCTATGGGAAGCGCACAAGCCGGACACGAGTGCAACAGTGTTCTCCCCACTTGTGATTCCTGCTTTTCATCCATGAATTTGTCTAATTCTCTTTTAAAGCTTTTCAAGTTGGAGGAAAATCTCTGCATCTTGTGGGAATGGATTGCATGGTTTCAGTATACACTACATTGCCTAATATCGTTTAAATGCAGATACTCCACGGTTCAGTTCTTAGTGGTGCTTTTAAAGGACCACCACTGCCAGTCATAGTAGCCAGTGCTGCTGATAATTCATCCATGATCCAACTCTGTATGAAACCTCTTGATGAGTTCAGAACCTGCTTTCTCACTACAGAGATCAGTCACTTCTGTGTGTGCATAATTTGTTTCTGGCAGGGAAAACGCAGCATCTCTCTTCATCTGGGAACAAGCTCCGAGAAGCCTGTTGGTAAATATTTAGGCTTGAGAATTCTGCAGGGAGGGTGATATCTGAGAGCTAAATTTGTATGGAATCTCAAGATGCTTTCTAAGGGAATGTCCTAAATTCTTCAGCGAGGTGTGGCAAATTCCAGAGCCTTTCAGCTTAATCAAATTGTCCTGGATCTTTTGTCTCTCTCTTTACCCTCTATTGCAAGCAGAGGGGGAGAGAGACCTCTACAGTTTGGAAAGATATACACCTTTTACATCTACATTTTGCTCAAGTTGTGTGAGAGAGTTTTAGGCTGCCTCCCTGTGGTCCCTGGGAGAGGATCATGGGGCCAAGGATGTTCCAGTTCTCCTCTAAGTATGGAGAGAGAGAGAGAGAGAGAGAGAGAGAGAGAGAGAGAGAGAGATCTGACCTTGGAGGGGAATATGAGATTTCATGCAGACTCTTCCAGGTGAAACAGAAATCATTGCAGGCCAACATTGATAGAGGTGAACGGGAGGTTGGCAGAGGCAAATCAGGGGAAGGGTTGAATCCAAAAGTTCAAAAATCTTCCCATTCCTTTGATGCATCCCTGAAACAGGAGGAAATATATACCAGCTGTGGACATATACAGTCGTACTTTGGTTCTTGAACAAAATCCGTTCTGGAAGTCCATTCAACATCCGAAAATGTTCAAAAACCAAGGCACAGCTTCCGATTGGCTGCAGAAGCTTCCTGCACTCAATCGGAAGTCGTGGAAGCCAAGTCAGATGCTTGGCTTCCAAAAAAAGTTCACAAACCGGAACACTTACTTTCGGGTTTGCGGATTTCAGGAGCCAAAACATTCGAGTCACAAGGCATTCAAGAACCAAGGTATGACTGTATACAACCTTCTCATTGGAAATAACAGAAAGGGAACTAATTAATTAGTTAATATATTTACATCCCACCTTTGCTCCAAAGAGCTCCAGGTGGCATCCGTGATTCTCCCCACTTCTCCATTTTATCCTAATGACAATCCTGTGAGGTAGGTTAGGCTGAGAGGGTCATGGTCACCAGGTGAGCTTCATAGCTGAGTGGGAATTTGACCTCTGGTGTCCCAAGACCTAGGTTTATACAGCCCACAAGGGAAGGGTTCCTCTCTCCCTTTTCTCCTGCCCTCTCTCCTGCCACCAAACACCCAGCAGGGCTCTGGAATCAATGGTCTGTGTGCTTTGTGGTCTCCTTCCTCCTCTGCCCATTTTCAGATAAAAGGCAGTTGCTTCTATTCCCATTTTACAGATTAGGTGGAAACTGAGACTAAGAGTCAAAGGCCAAACAAAGGCAGGACTTGAACTTAACTCCCTGCGGTTTCTGGATGTATTTCAGAAAGGAAAGAGTTGGAAGAGAACAATTTCCAGAATGCAATTTGTTACGGTTGATGCACATGGCAGAATCAGCCTCACACGCACCAACATTACGAGTTGGAAGAGGATGCTCAGGAAAGGATGATATTGTAAATAACCCTTATGGTTTGAAATGTGCCAAGATCTCAGAGAGCCAGAGAGGTACTTTGCGTGTTTACACGTGTTGATTTTAGTGCTCTGCACAGCTTCTACTTCTTTGCACAGCAAACAGTATAAATTATGCAAAATTGGATCAATCATGTAAATTTGTTCACTTTCCATAATTTATGGAAGTCATAGCACTGAGTTATCTGGCATGTCATTTCAGGCTCCCCTCTTCCTCTGTGCAGCTATCAAAGGGATAGGAACCCTCTGCTTTCCTTGGCCCCCAAAGAACCACCATACTGTGAGAGATCACCAGGGAGAGAGAGCCCTGCAAACTCCTCCCAGCTGAGCTCCATCAGAGAACAGGCCGAGGGCATTTTGCCCCATGAACTCTGGGCCAAGCTGGCCTTGGCTGCGCCACTCCTGTGTTCAAATTTCAAAGAAACCACGCCAACCTGAACCAGACCTGCACCAGGCGTATTGCATGAGGTTTGCGTAAAGAGCTTTCCATCCTCAAAGGGGAGTGGGCAACTGGTTCAGAGCCACAGCCCAGACCCAAAGGAGCTGGAGGGATGCAGGGGAGATAACCCATGCACAGGGTGGCAGTTTTTGTGCAACACCCAGCCACTTTCACAGCCAGCACCAACCATTTGGGCTCGTGCTCAAATGAGAGCCACCCTGCTTCTGGGCCGAGCGTGTCTGCACTTGTATTTCCCACCTTGCCATTCTTCCTTTTATGCAGCCATAGGAAAGGAAATGCCCTCCTCTCTCCTTTGGGATGCTATTAGTGGTTTTCTGCTATGTTCTCATTTGTGGTGGCACAGAGCCCCCTGGTGGAACAGGCTTCCTCTTGACCTTCTCCTAAGACCATCTAGCCCAGCATCCTGTCCTCACAGAGGCCAGCCGGAAAACTCTCCCCTCCTGTGCTTTTCAGCAACTGGTATTGCTGCCTCCAACCATGGAGGCAGAGAATTGCCATCAATAACCCTCACCTCCAAGAACTTGCCCAGCCATCAAGGTTGTGCAACCCGTACAGCACACAGGCGACAATTATTCACACAATTAATATTCTTGTTCAAAAAACAATTTTCCACCATTTATCAGATTTGTGAGAATAAGACAACTACTTAGAAAGTAGCCATGAAAACTTATAAGCTATCCAAAATAAAGTGAACTTGCAGTGTCAGATTTTACTAAGTTCATCCAACTTCTTGACTCAATTTTTTTTTCTTGTTTTTTAGGTAAGTTCAAGAAGAAGATAAGTAAGTTCAGTGATGTTCCCGGTAGCTGTGAAGGGCAGATGGAAAACAGGGTTCCAGCGTTCTATCCCTGTTTCGCCCTGTTGTTGTTGTTTAGTCATTTAGTGGTGTCTGGCTCTTCGTGACCCCATGGACCAGAGCACGCCAGGCACTCCTGTCTTGCACTGCCTCCCGCAGTTTGGTCAGACTCATGCTGGTAGCTTCGAGAACACTGTCCCACCATCTTGTGCTCTGCCGTCCCCTTCTCCTTGTGCCCTCAATCTTTCCCAACATCTGGTCTTTTCCAGGAAGTCTTCTCTTCTCATGAGGTGGCCAAGTATTGGAGCCTCAGCTTCAGGATCTGTCCTTCCAGTGAGCACTCAGGGCTGATTTCCTTCAGAATGGATAGGTTTGATCTTCTTGCAGTCCATGGGACTCTCAAGAGTCTCCTCCAGCACCATAATTTAAAAGCATCAATTCTTTGGCGATCAACCTTCTTTATGGTCCAGCTCTCACTTCCATACATCACTACTGGGAAAACCATAGCTTTAACTACACGGACCTTTGCTGGCAAGGTGATGTCTCTGCTTTCCGTTTCGCCCTAGCAGTCCATAAAGTTGAAGAGCTGCTATTTCGCCCCCGACAGGGCCAATTTATTGGGGTTGGCTGATAGCCCACTCCCTGAGCACAGTCTTCTGGGCTTCCTCAGTATATTAATATTAATTGTGTGAATAATTGTCGCCTATGTGCTGTACGGGTTGCACAATCATTATTAACAGCATATGTTGTATTTCTTCAGCAGCCATCAAGGTTGGCAAGCTATACTTCAGCTACTTCCCTTTGTGGTAGTCCTGTGGTACCTCCCCTCTAGGGTGACCGTGTGTCTTGCAAAGCCCCTACACCTTCGTTGGGTATATTGGAAATTTAAATGGTGCCGCTCAGCTATCTGAGTCCCCAGCAGCTACCCACAGGTGAAATTCAATAATAGCAACTAGTGAGCAGCCTTCAAGAGATGAGGCAGTTTCATACATTCAGCTAGCCTTTTATAGACGGTATTAAATTATCTCAGGCAGTTTCAGTAGGGTGTCAGTTTATTTTTGTTGTTCGTACAGAAATCCAAGAGAGAGAGACAAACGCAAGAAACTGAGACACATGGAAAGACTGTTGGGATGGAATCCTGTGTTGGCATCTTTAAAGGACTTATCTGGGCACAGAGCCTGCCGGGCGGTCGTCACTTGAACCCCAAGCGCAGAGAAGCATCGCCACATGTCGGACTGCTTGTGTGAAGTGCATGAACACTCTCCCTCTCCCTCTGCCACATGGTGCAAGCCATTTTTATTTGCACGGTGGGGAATTGTTATCGGAGAAGCCATTTCAAAAGCTGCCCAGACCCACCTCCATGTAGGGAAAATAGTGTTACACGACGAGCACCATCATGTTCATAGATACCACGTGGCACAGTGATATTGCATGGGACATCTCTCCTTCAGGGCCGCTGCTTCTCACACGGCTCACACTTGACAAACGTGATGATACGCTGGAAGGGAGCTTTGCATTTCGCAACTCACCTGGTTGCCATAATTGACTGGGGACTCCATGCAGGTGAGTGAATAGGCTGGTGGGGGATGGACAGATTGAACTACTCCTTCATTGACCTGCTTGATTTATGTGCCACCCAGAGGAGCTGCTGGCCAGCACAGAAATGAAGCAAATGATAGAGGAGTGGCATCATCAGACCTTCACCCACCAGCCCACTTGGTAAAATACTTTTATTTAAAATGGCCTGATAGGCTCACAGCTTGCATTTTGATGCAGGCTATGGATGAGGCGTCCCCCTTCCAAGTCCAGCATGAAAATTCAGGCTACTCAGCAGGCAGTCAAATAATAACAACAACAATTGCAGGCTACCAACTGTATGTCCACGAGTTCAGGCGTTATGAGAGCAGAAAAACTTTCTCCATGCCACACATAACTTCATAAACCTCTACTATGTCGTCTCTTGTGGGTCTTTTCTCCAAACCAGAGGTTTTCCAGCTTTTTGAGTCCATGGCTCCCCTGACCAACTACATTCTTTCTGTGACACCCCTGGGGGGCTCAGGAGCCCAGTTATGTCACCCCTTGCCTGCAGAGCTGGGAGCCTCTCACCCTTTTTCAAACATCCTCCCTTGTGGAGTGTTCCCTCAGCCTCCTCTCCCCTCTCCTTGGGTGTCCTCTGGCAGCCGTTGCTACAGCCCCCAGTCTCTGAGCTGTCCCACCTCCTGCCCCAAAGAGAGGTGCCTCTTCACACTGCCCCACAGGGGCCTGGGGCTCGTCCGTCCATTCCCAACAGCAAAGGCTGGTGGACTGGCTGGCTAGGCTACATCCCCCATTTCCTTGCTTATCCCAAGGCCGCGTCAGCTCCTGGCAACCAGCAGTCCCCGAGGCATCATTCACCTGCAGAGCTTGTAGCCAGGGCTGCTGCAACAAACAGCTGTACAAGTCTTTGAGAGGCAGAGATGCAAGGAGGCATCAGACGAGGGAGGGAATGAAAGGAGGACAGAGGCCAGTGTTGTCCACAGCACCCTGACCATCATCCAAGGCACCCCAGGGTGCCGCGGCCCACTGGTTGAAAACCACTGCTCTAAACTAAGAAGCTGCACCTGTTGTATCCTTCCCTCCTAGGGGAACTGCTATTCTCCTTAGTCATTTGGTTTGCCCTTTCCTGAGAAGTCAGCTCCATTCGATCTTCCCTCTCTCAACTGTCTCCTGGAAGCAGCTATCCCTGCACAGCAAGGGGTCAGACTGGATGACCCTCGGGGTCCCTTCCACCTCTATAATTCTACAATTCTATGATTGAGCTCATAGAAGCAGAAGGAAAAGAAGCAGTGTCACTCCATCAGCTCTGCCTCTCCTTGAGCCGCTTCCATTCCAGCAGGCCATTTTTAGAACTTTGTAAACTAAGCTGAGTTTGAGTCTTTCCTCCCACCCCTCCCCATACAAGAAAAAGAAATCGTTTTCCTTTGGTGTCATGTTTTTAAGATTGCAACCTTGAGAGCAGGGAAGGTTATTCTCCATAACCCACTCCGGGTGACCTTTTTCATTCGAAGAGTGAACTAAAAATGCTTCAAACAAATGCAAGTCTGAGCGTGCAAATTTCCTAGTGACCATTTTCAGTGGGATTAATTATTGCAGCAGTGTGGTTGTGTGGCTAACCAAAGGTCATCACAAAAATAACAAGCAGGAAGGGAGGAGGAAGTGTAAGCGGTTGGTTGGTTTTCTAAAATATAAGGCATATATCAAGTGTCTAAATAAATAATGACTGAAGTACTAACGGATTAGTATTTATGCATTCTTACGGTCTGGATCTACTGCAGTAAGGGAAACAGTGAAGTTGGAGGGGCGGCCCTGAATTTTGCCTCTAGCCATTGCTTTTCCCCTGTAGCCCCTCCCAGAAGACATTTCAAACCCCACCCCGAAACCCAGGGCTCATTTCTAACTTTGGAGCTGGGGCGAGGGATATGTGGTTCTGAGTAGCAGGGGTTGGAGAGCCACGGGGTTCAGCACTCCCCTGACACCAAATCCTTATCCGATGGAAATGACAGCCACACCTGCTACTCGGACAGCTGCCCAGTGTTGACCCACCCTCCAAGACGCAGCTCAGTCCCTAAATGGCAGCACCGACAGATTAACTTGCAAGTCTGTGCTCAGGGTCGCTGTTTGAACGCAGCCCAAACCTCCAGGATGCAGAATGATTCTCAGTTACGCTCCGGTGCCTCTCGCCAAACAGGCCCAGGGTCACACCTTGCAAGCAGGGCAGCTGACCCCATTGCCCACTGCCCGCATGTGTGATATTGCAAGGAAACAATGCCACGCGCCATTTGGTGGCAACAACTACAGGAAGGGGCAGGGAAGAAGGGAGGGAGAGGGCAGCGCCAAGAGATGCAAAGACTTCCAGCAGGGATGAAAAACCTGTGACCCCCTAGATACTGCCACGCTAGAACTCCCATCATCCATGACCACCCACTGGCCTCGCTGGCTGGGACTGATGGGCACTGGAGTCCAGCAATGGCTGGAGGGCAGCAGGTTCCCCATCCCTGGAATGAAGCAAGCTTTAATATAGTGCCCACGGACCCCAGGTGAAGAGGGGCCTTAAGAAACTGGAAGTGGCCACATAGAGACAGCAGTCCAGATCCAAACACGAATCCGGTTCCATGGCTTGCCAGGCCCCGTTCAGGCTAAGAAATGAGGAATGCCATGGAAGGAGATGGCACTCTTTGCTCTTAGGTGGCAGCATGGTGCAGAGTCCTCAGCCAGGTGGTGGGTGACAGGAGAGCTGGCCAGAAGGAGGAACGTGAAATAGCACAAGTTGGTGGCTGAGCTGCTATTTGCTCAATGGGTGGAGGCAAGTTCTTTCCCACTCCCCATCCCAGCAGGAGAGCAGTAACATGGAACCGGGATCCAGCCAGGGGTGCCCAGCACCAGTCAAAGAGACACCTGCAGGAAAAGGACAGAAGCAGGAATGAGGCAGACCAGGCTCCTTGGGGGACACAAGTCTCTTCTTCCCATACTCCATATTAGAACATCTGAGGGTCAACTTCTTCACTATGATCCCAATGTCCCACTGCTGGTCAGCCACTACTAGTTCCAACTTTATTAACACGTAAATGTCATAAGGAATTTGTGCACCTGCTCACATGGAACTGCAGTTGCCATTCTGCTGCTCGTTCAGCCCAGTTTGGAGGAATTCTTCCTTTTAATGTTTCAACCACCCTGAACGAATGAAGCCTTCCCCCTCTTCTCCAACTGGAACAAGAACCTAAGCCCCTCGTTGCTCTGTTTGCTCATCTGCATCTTGTCTTGCTAACCTCAGCCTTCAGACTGTGGCTCCTTACTGTTAATGTGTTAGCACATATGGGGACATGATGTATTTTCGCTCAGTGACAACCACCCAAGATGCTGCTGTTAGGCAGGTTCACATTAGAATGTGAACCAAACTGAATTCCTCCCCCATCCCTGGCTCCTATGAATTTAAGTTGTTTAGGGACAGAACTATAGGTGCCACCAAAAACAGAGCAGCTGTGCTTCCTCCCTCTCCTCTCTACCCCACTGGGATTATAGCAGGGGCGCGGGTGGCGCTGTGGTCTAAACCACTGAGCCTCTTGGGCTTGCCAGTCGGAAGATCGGTGGTTCAAATCCATGCGATGGGGTGAGCTCCCATTGCTCTGTCTCAGCTCCTGCCAACCTAGTAGTTTGAAAGCATACCAATGCAAGTAGATGCATTTCCATGTGCTCTGGCACTCATCACAGTGTCACATTGTGCCAGAAGCGGTTTAGTCATGCTGCCCACATGACCCAGAAAGCTGTCTGTGGACAAATGTCAGCTCCCTCGGCCTGAAAAGTGAGATGAGAGTCGCAACCCCATAGGCCCCTTTGACTGGGCTTAACCATCCAGGGGTCCTTTCCCTTTACCTTGGGATTATAGCAATGCAAAAATATGCAATATCGCCACACTGCAAATTACCCTAACATAGTCTAGCTCCACAGCATTAGGTATCATTGGGAAAGGACTGCCTCTTACAGAAGAACATGCATGCAGAAGGTCTTTGGTTCAATCCCCAGCATATCCAGGTGGAGACATCCATGTGGAGAAATACTTATCAACATGGACCAATGGTCTGACTCTGAATAAGGCAGCTTGCTAAGTTCCACATCATCTATGTTTGGTCTCCTGATTTGTAACCAGTAGACACCTTCAGCAACTGAGCTTCAGATTCAGTAGCATTCCACAGGCAAAGTTTCATATGTGGACAGACGCAGGGCAAAAACATTTTAATAAATAGAGCAACATGTACGTATTGGTGCAACTTATATGCAAAACAATAAGAAAACATGGAATTTCAAGCACCAAAACAACCTCAATTATCACAATTAAGACTTATTGAGGGGGAAAGCCTCTTGCATTTATGAATTGTGATTTTAAAGGAGGTTCCCCCCCCCCCATATTAGCAAATGTGACCATTTGTTCCATATTGCAAAAAAGGGGACCACCACCAAGTTATCTGTCTGGCCCAACCAAAGATGTACATGTTCTTCCTTGTCCTCCACAACAACCAGAAAATGATTTCAATCAAAATCCAGGTACGGGCCTGTGTGTGTGTGTGTGTGTGTGTGTGTGTGTGTGTGTGTACACTCAATAATACATTTTTTTTAACCACTATGCAGACATGCCTGGTAGAAAGAAGACCAGAGCAATCCCCACCACCATTGCCTCAATCTACGTGGGGCTGTCCTTGAGACTGACCCAGAAACTCCAGCAGGTGCAGAACGCCGCGGCAAGACTCCTTACGGGGTCCTTGTCGCGGGATCACATTCACCCGGTGCTATACCAGCTGCACTGGCTCCCGGTGGAGTACAAGATCAGGTTTAAGGTGCTGGTTTTAACCTTTAAATCCCTATACAGCCTAGGACCCTCATACCTACGGGACCGCCTCTCCTGGTATGTCCCACGGAGGACCTTACGGTCTTCAGACAAAAACATCTTGGCGGTCCCAGGCCACAGGGAAGTTAGGCTGGCTTCAACCAGAGCCAGGGCTTTTTCGGTTGTGGCGCCAATCTGGTGGAACGCTCTGTCACAAGAGACTAGGGCCCTGCGGGACTTGACATCTTTCCACAGAGCCTGCAAGACAGAGCTGTTCTACCAGGCCTTTGGCCAAGGCACAGTCTGACCTCCTCCTTCAGTAATCCTCACAGAACTCTAGCCGATATGGTTGCCATTGATTTGATTCTGAATTGATTTTAGAATGAATTGATTTTAGAATGCTGTGTTACTTTTATTGTTGTTAGCCGCTCTGAGCCCGGCTTTGGCTGGAGAGGGCAGGATATAAATAATTTTTTTTTATTATGATGATTATCATTCTGCATCTCCTTGCAGGAAGACTCCATCGCCAGCTTCTCCAGGCCTCATTTGGCTACCGGAGTTTGAGAAGCCACACGCTCAACCATCAGACCGGGGTGATGGTGGGGGAGACATGTGCTCTCACCTGGGTGAGCAGGACCTTCTCTGTTCCTTCAGAAGCACCTCCATCCGATGGGGCTGTCATGAGCTGCATTCATCTTCAGATGTTTGCGATGACACGTATCTTCTGGGCGGCTCCACCAGGTATGCATATGAGAGCCCCACCATGATCTGCCAGAGAAGAGGAGTGCGTCAGCACGGTGGGGCTGGGGAGAGGGAGAGGAGGAAGGAGGAAGGAGGGAGGTCTCACTGTGACCCCAGAATGCAGTTCCACAGCCAGGCCACTGGGCACTCACCGTGAGGAGACTTAGCAGACCCATCATCACCCCCAGCATGATGTCCAAGTTGTTGGTCAAGCCTCCAGCCCACAGAGGCCCAAGGATGGTGGCCACGCCCCCTACAGAGCGACGGAGACCCTGGCTGAACCCTGTGGAAGAAGAAGAAAGCATTTTAAAGAATATTTATCAGTGTCTTCAGCCCTGCCCCTAAAGGCTCCCATATCCATTTTTTTTAAGACCTTCGGCTTGTTTTGGGAGGTGGCTTCAATGCCCAGATCGGCCTTGTTTTCCCCCAAAATACAATATTATCTGGACTAAACTTGGAGGACGAACCTGAAATCTGTCAGAGGGCAGCAATGGACACCACCTCTAACTGTGCTGGGAAATATCTTTGTTGAACTTATAATTAAGCATAACCTTTTGTTATGGTCAAGGGGATCAAGAGGGTTATTTTACTTTTATCTCCCCCAGAGGATTTACTAGCACCATAGATTATATCCTAACATCTAATAATGTGCCAATTAACAGAGATACTTCAGGATAATTCCCAGAGCTGAAAGTGACCACTTTCCACTTGAGTTATCTCTGACATCATTCGTTTCTCCTGCCTTTCCTAAATTATTGGACGAAACGAACTATCTGATACTTGGAAACAGAAGGTTAAAATGGAATGCACAGGTCCAAGAAAAAATGATTCAGATCCTGGATTCCCATGAATTTGCTTTATTAAAGGGGGAAACGTTATAGAAACAGAAAACTTTATGAGAACATAATCAACCGAATGCGCCCACTGATGACCACAACTAGTGTGATAAAAAAACAAAAAGTTTAAAAGACAGACTTGGTTTGATAAGGAATTTTTTTTTTGAGCAAATCATTCCCTGTCATCAGGCTTACAATAAAAAGACACAGCACAAAAGGAAAATAGACAGGAGGAGGAGGAGGAAATGAGCTCGAGTGCCCGTTCTTTGTTACAAATTCCATTTGGGTTGTGTGTTTGCTTCATCTAAAGTCCTGGCTGCTCCTTCAGCCTGCTGTGCCTCAGTCAACTCTCCATGTCAACCAACCGCAAGCAGTGGCAAAGACAGAACTGCAATTTCACTTCCGTTACTTGACAAGCCAACAAGCGCACAGCGAGGCAGACAGAGCAAACCCAGGTGAGTCATTCTCCCAAGCCTGGAAGGATGTTGCAACAATGCTTTGCTGCTCTCAGGAGTGGGAGGTGTCGAGAGGCAGAACATTTTTCTTTTTAAAGAAAAAAGGGAAATCAGGCCACAGAGCAATCCAACACCAGTCAACAAACAAGCCTTGCAAACAAGGGCTGGAGAGGGCAAATGCCGCACACAGTAACTGGACCCAGGAAAGCGCAGCCTGATCAGGAAGCGAATACTAGCCTGGGAAACTGAAATCCTGATAGAAATAAGACACTCTGCCCTCTGGTAGCCACGCCAGAGGGAGAGATACTGGACCTTTTGAGATAGTTCACCTGGACCAATCTATCCCCGAGATGGCTTTAAACACAATACGAAGCTTTCAGCGAGCAGGTGGTTGTGTCCCTGCACCGGCAGAGTTCTGCTTTGATGCTACCTGTCCAGACAGCTATCAGGAGGGTCACAAGGGCCATCTAGCCCAAGCCCCCCACAATGCAGGAATTGCAATTCTGGTGCATAGCAGTTAAGGTAGATCAAGGGGGGAGCTCTAGCACCACTCTAGACCAGAGGACCCACCCATGACATAAAACAACATTGGAACTATTTAGCCACTGAATGCTAGAATTTAAGGAATAGTTCCTTTCTCCCCACCCCCAAAAAACCATGACGATCCTGTAACTATTCAGTGCTCTGAGCACTGAAAGATTCCTTCTCCTGCACAAAGAGTGTGTGGCTACCCTTGTAGGAAGGCGTGGAGAACCACGCACAGATAAATCTTCTTTCAAAGTAGATGATGCAAGACTAGAAGTACACATCAATGTGTACACAGGTGTGCACATGGCTCAATACAAACATGCAGCAGAACATGAGTAGAGCCTTGAGGTGTCAGCTTGGGACTGCATTACTTCAGGCTGAAGGAAGAGAATGCCAGTTCTGAACACTCCCTGCAAGCTATAAAATTAGATTAATAGGGTGAGATTCTATTCCCAGTTATCTTGGTCCATTATTGCTTCCTTCATGCAGTATTTGTTTTCTAACTACACACACACACAAGCTTTAAAAACAGTGGCATCCCCACCTACAGCCTGAAGTGACACAGTTCTAACACACCTCGCTTGTTGGACTGGTCATGTTGGGCGGATGCCCGCTTATTGTCTTCCAAAGAAATTACAGTCAGACCTCAGGTTACAGACGCTTCAGGTTGCGCGTTTTCGGGTTACGGACTCGCCGAAACCCGGAAGTACTAGAACGGGTTACTTCTGGGTTTCAGTACTCACGCATACGCAGAAATGCTAAATTGCACTTTGCGCATGCACAGAAGCGCCGAATCGCAACCTGCACGTGCGCAGACGCTGCGCTGTGGGTTGCGAATGTGCCTCCCGCATGGATCACGTTCGCAACCCAAGCGTCCACTGTACTCTACTCCGAACTTTAAAATTTGAGACACAGCCTTACCTTGCGTTCTCTCGGCCGTGACTTTAGAAAAGAGCGACACTTGGGAGACTGCAACAAAGGGAAGGCCCAGGACTTGCAGGAAAACGCCCACGACCAACTCTGTAAGGAGGATGGTAAAGGTACCTGGAAGAAGCAAAGCACACAGAACTCAGTAAGGAGGAGGAGCGAGGTGATGGAGAGCAACAAGGGATGATCTGTATATATGAGTGGACCACTGAGGGTGAAAGGCATTTCCTCCCATCGCCTCCAGTGGAAGGTTTTTGATGGAGCCCACTTAAACACAGAGAGAGGGCAGGGAACAGCTTGTGCACACATGCCCGTCCCTTGTCTGTGTGAACAGATGCACTGGAGAAAACAAGGAGCTGTCCGACACGATTGCCCTAAGATCTGCAATTCACATATGCATGGCATCACCACTTTCATGCTGCAGCCATGCGCTGCACAGGGAAAGATGCTCAGGCTATGTCTGAACAGGCCTTGCACCAAAGCAACCCTGTGGCCTTTTGAATGGTGAGGTGTAACATCAAGCACAGCCGTTGCATTCCAAGCCGCATGGGCAAGAATTAAACCTATGGATTTTGCATCAGAGGGTGCTCATTCACCTCCCAGTGTCAAGTGCATGAACCAAAGACCAAAGTCACACGGCTGGTGAACTGAAGGCTAAGGTTAGCTGTATTTTTACACCTCCAGGGAAGATGGAATTACATCTGCCTCTCTCACACAAGTCAAGGGGTTTTATGCCCTCCCCAAAGCCCACATTAAAGATCTGAGGCAGTCAAGTTGTGCATCCACAGCAGTGGCCAGAGGAGGAATGACTGCTGGGAGGAGCGCAGAGAGAAGAAATGCCCTCGTGCATCTGCAGCAGCACAAGCAGACCCCTCCCTCTGCCCCAGCTGCAACAAAACATGTCTCTCCCGTATCAGTCTCTACAGCCACAGCAGGCGCTGTAAATCTCCAACAGTTTGACCTCACCCCCAAAGGCACACTTCTCCATTGTCTCCAGAGACAGATGGATGCCAGAAGAGGATGGGGAGGCACAAAGAGATAAGAATTGGTTACCCAAATAAACACATGTTTTACCATGTTGTGGATGGCGGCCAATTGTTTAGATCCGGGATAGGAAACCCTTTTCACCCCGAGGGCCGCATTCGCTTTTGGGTAGGCTTCTGAGGGCCAGATAGTAGTGGTGGGCGGACCAGAGGCAAAAGTGGGTGGAGCAACTAAAGCAAATTTTACCATTGTACAATACAGTCGTACCTCCGCTTATGTATCCCTCTGGATACGGAAACTTCGGGATGCGAATGTGGCAAACCCCGGAAGTATTTTTCTGGGTTTTGCCAAGCGCGCATGTGCAGAAGCACTCTATGTGCCGCGCACATGCGCAGAGACGCTAAACCACGCCACATGCATGCGCAGAAGCGGTCCTCCAGTTGCGAATTCCTCGGGATGCAGCCGGACCTCCGGAACGGATCGGGTTCGCAACCAGAGGTAGCACTGTAATCTGGTTTCTAAACACACCCATACACCTTCCATCAAAACATGCAGGAAGCATTTCAGCAGGGCCAGTGAGGGTTGTCAGGTTTGGCCAAAGGAGAGTTTCAAGGTTGAGACAAAGATCTGGAGGGCAGCGCCAGGCTCCCAGGTCATAGAATCATAGCATTGTAGAGGTGGAAGGGACCCCGAGGGGCATCTAGTCCAACCCCAGGCAAAGCAGGAATCTCAACACTCCTGGCTCTGGAACCACTTCTTATTGCTCTCCCGGTTCATTCCAGCTGCAGCATTTCCCAACTGCTGCATGGGAACTGGGAATTCTGGCAGAGCTGGCTTCCGCTTCGCATAGGCACGGGGCTGATCAAGGATACCAGTTCACCAAAGAGGATCAACAGGACCATGGAAGGACCATGACCGCGTCTTGTCAGGAGCTCAGCAACGTTACCTCGGGGCCGTACCAGGAAGAACAGGCACCAAGCACAGGCTATGTTGCAGATGACCAGGCCAAGGACCAAGAGGATGCGGTCAGACAGGCGAGTGCTCAGGCAGCGCACCAGGAAGAAGCCAGCAATGACCTGAAGGCAGGGGGAGAGAAGACGGCCATTTTGAGCATCACAGACTTCTCACATGACTAGACATCAACGGTGCAATCCTATGCATTTGTACCGAGAAGGAGGCTGCGTACACCTTAAAGGTTTAACATATACAGCAGAACCATCATTTTCAAGACAACCTTCATCCCCAGGCCTGGCAAATCAAGAACTATAGTTGATGATCTGATAGTCTTTACTTGGACTGCATTATTTTAACTCATGTCCAACAACTCCTATGGCATGTCTATGCTATAGGTTATTTTTTTTAAAAAAATCTTTTAATTTTCCTTCGTTGTTGTAAGTGTTCTGTTTTATAAAGTGAAGTAATAACTAAAAAATTCATTTAATATAAAATAAAGAACAGTACTTTTTTACCATGACATATTGCAACATTTCTTATTGAAAATCCTTATTCCATTGTATTAGATCTAATGATTTGCTTGGCATAATTCCGATTATTATTATTATTATTATGCCACTCATCTGACTGGGTTGTCCCAGCCACTCTGGTGGGCTCCCAACAAAAATAGTAAAAACACGATACAGCAACAAACACTCCTTATTCTTTCATTTATATATTTTTCTGTTACTCTTTCCAGGTGATTTTTCCTTAGTTTGCACTTATCCTGGTTTTAAATTCTTGATAGCCTGTTGCTATATGCGTCATAATATTTTTCCCCATACTAAAAATTCCTGTAAAGATATGTTTTAAAAAGGAAACAGCCATGAGCATCTTGAATTTGGCTTGGAAACGGATTGTTGTCAACCAAAACCCAGCATTATATAACCCTGGATTCAAAGTCAAGCTGTCTTCAAGGGCAGACCCACGTACAGCAGTCAAGAGGTGCATACACCGCCCACAAAAATAGCTAAGCCTTAGTTATCAGTTTATCAGACACTTGGTGAAAATGAATCATGGCAGGGAGTGGGAGATCTATGAAAGTAGGGATGAAGAACTGGATCTGGCTGATGGACTGGATTCCCAATACCTTACTCCCGGTAGCCAACTTTGGCAATGTCATAATGACGACAGGTGACCCAATTTTGCCGGGGGTTAAAGGAGGTTGTCTTAACCAGCCTGTCAATCAGCAGTAACAGCACCTTCCTTTGAAGCTGCTCTTCCAGCACCTATTCACCTTCAAAGGTATAAGCACCAGTCAGGACCGCAGGACCACCTCTCCCCACATGAACCATCCCAGACTCTGTACTCATCATCTGAGGCCCTTCTTTGTGTGCCTCCTCCACGAGAGGTCTGGAGGTCAGCAATACGAGAACGGGGCCTTTTCTGCAGTGGCTCCCCATTTGTGGAATGCTCTCCCCAGGGAGGTTCGCCTAGCACCTTCATTACAGTCATACCTCATGTTACGTCCGCTTCACGTTACGTTCTTTCAGGTTACGTCCCACGGCGACCCAAAAGTACCAGAAAGGGTTACTTCCGGGTTTCGCCACTCACACATGCACAGAAGCGCAAAATGACGTCACGCGCATGCGCAGAAGTGGCAAATCGCAACCCGCGCGTGCGTAGACGTGCCGCTGCACGTTGCTCTCTTTGCATGTTGCAAATGGGCTTCCGGAACAGGTCCCATTCACAACCAGAGGTACCACTGTATGTATTTTTAGGTGCCAGGTGAAAACATTCCTCTTCTACCAGGCCTTTGGCGGATTAATATCTTACAGCCTTTTAAACATATCTGTGGGAAGGGGTGGGAGCAATTATTTTTGTTGTTGTTTTGGTTTAATTGTTTGCTTGTGTTTTATCTTGGATTTTATTCTGTGACCTGCCCTGATATCTTCTGATGAGGGGTGGTATATGAATTTAATGAATGGGTGAATAAATTCAGCTGTCACGGGGGGGGACCCCTTCAAAGTCCTTTTGGAGGAAGTGGCTTAAAGCAAAACAGCTTTCCCCAAACAGAGAAAATATGTCCTCTTTGCTACACTGAGTTTCCAATGATTAGGACACTAGATACTAGCTTCCCTCTCTAGTATCACTAACCAGATGAGTAACCAGGGCTAGATACCTCTTCCCTCGCCACCCCGAGACTGGAAAGGGTGGCTTGTGGTAAATAACCTTATCACATTTTCTCTCAAAGTTAACAGGTTGGGCGGTTTGCATAGAGTTTAAAAGCCTGCCCAACCTGTTTAACCAGCGGCAACAGTTGGAGAAACTGGGCAGGGATCACGCTTACACACAAATATACACATGACAGAAATTGACATCCCCCTCAAAAACAACTTTCAGTTCTACAGAAGTCAGACAAAGTCACATTTTAAGGAGGGGGGAAGAAAGTACCCAGAGGGATACTCTCACCTTGGTCCCTTGTCTGAGGGCTCTTTGCCATAGGTCTTGGCACTCACCTCCACACCGCAGAGGAAATACATGATGCTGTTCTCCAGCTCCCCAAAATTCAAGAACTTCTGGGTGATTGGGGTCACCATCGTCTAGATGAAGAAAACATACGTGAGCATCCGGGAGCATAGGGGAAACCAATGGTCCCCTTTATGTTCCACCACCACACTAAACGGCCTCAGCCCAGTATACCTGAAGGAGCGTCTCCACCTCCATCATTCAGCCCAGACACTGAGGTCCAGCTTTGAGGGCCTTCTGGTGGTTCCCTCCCTGCGAGAAGTGAGGCTACAGGGAACCAGGCACAGGGCCTTATTGGTAGTGGTGCCCGCCCTGTAGAACACCCTCCCAGCAGATGTCAAGGAAATAAACAACTATCTGACTTTTAGAAGACATCTAAAGGCAGCCCTGTTTAGGGAAGATTTTAATGTTTGATTTTTTTATCGTGTTTTTAATGTTCTGTTGGGAGCCACCCAGAGTGGCTGGAAAACCAAGCCAGATGGTTGGGGCATAAATAATAAATTACTACTACTGCTACTGCTACTGCTACTACTACTACTACTACTAAAGAGACGTAGGAAATGCGGATCTGGGAGATGGCTTTTTCTGGGGCAGCTCCTAAGCTGTGGCGCCCCCTCCCCTTCTTTGGCAATCACTCGTAGCCGAGTAAGATTGTCTTCCATAAACACAGTTTTAACAATGCATCCATGAGTGACTGTAGGTGTACCTAACATCTTCACTGTACAGCTTTCGTCATCTGCTGAAGATGCTCCTCTTCTCTCTGGCCTTTGACGCCTATAAATTAGGACCCACCCTATTCTTTTGACCTCATTGCTTGGCACAGATTTTAATTTTGCGTTACAAATTGCTCCAAATGCAGCCGGGAGGACTTGAGGTGCAGGGCGGGAAACGAAACAAATACCAACAACAAAGACATATTGAGAAATAATTGGCACTTCCCAAAGGGATAGGTAGTGTGAGAACCAGCCAGGAAGGGAGAAGGACAATCTATACAACGAGCATGGGATTTGCCTGAGCACGCAACACATCAAAAATGTCACCTACCTCTAGGGCGGTTTGATTGAAGAGCGTAATGAACTGGGCAGTCAGCAGAACCACCACCTCTTCCCTCAGGTACTCTGCAATGACAAATCTCATTGAGGCACAAAAGAGCCAAAACAACGCTGAACGGGACATTATTTCATTTCACTTTTAATCTGTATACCGCCTTTTTATATTATTATACCACAAGGTGGTTCACAAACTGAAGAAACAACAAAGATTGCACACCTCACAACAATCTGATCCGACACAAAAAAGTCACAATAAAAACTTAACTTTAAAATAAACAACTAATATCAAATGAAACAATATTCAACCATCCTTTAGGATATAATAGTTAACAGTAAAGTTAAATATCAGCAAATAATAATTAAACAGTTTACACTTAACAATAAAGCATTGTTAAGCAGTAATCAATAAAAAATAATGGCAAGTCACAATGCATAAAATACCATGAAACATACAAAGCCAGGTAAAAGGATCAAACTGAGAAACAAGGACCTGTAAAATTATTTTTTTAAGAAACTTAACTTTAACCTTAACTTTGCCCCTGCCTGCCTCCAATTTTGTCCTTTCCTTGGAAGACGCTCTGTTCTCAAGGCCCTCTTCTGCCACGAGAGCTACTATGTCCCCACCAGAACATTTGGAAATTGATTGGCTTGTTTTATGAGGTGGTGACAGGGGAAAAAGTTGAGGCAGCATCCTCCAACATGCCAACTTTCTGAACTTGCAGACCAGAAAAGGGAGGCTCAGCTCTAGTCTTCTCCATGTGCCTTCTTGTAGGGCAAGCTTTGGATCAGAGATGGAGAACTTCGGGCCCAGGGATCAGATGTGGCCATAGACCTGGCCCCCACGGCTCTCCCCCAAGCCGTGTGTCTTGCTTTTTAATCTTTAATGATTTATTATTTATTATGTTTTCATATATGCTGGAACCTTGCCAACAAAGGTCCGTATAATTAAAGCTACGGTTTTCCCAGTAGTGATGTATGGAAGTGAGAGCTGGACCATCAAGAAGGCTGATTGCCGAAGAATTGATGCTTTTGAATTATGGTGCTGGAGGAGACTCTTGAGAGTCCCATGGACTGCAAGAAGATCAAACCTCTCCATTCTGAAGGAAATCAGCCCTGAGTGCTCACTGGAAGGACAGATCCTGAAGCTGAGGCTCCAATACTCTGGCCACCTCATGAGAAGAGAAGACTCCCTGGAAAAGACCCTGAAGTTGGAAAAGATGGAGGGCACAAGGAGAAGGGGATGACAGAGGACAAGATGGTGGGACAGTGTTCTCGAAGCTACCAGCATGAGTCTGACCAAACTGCGGGAGGCAGTGGAAGACAGGAGTGCCTGGCATGCTCTGGTCCATGGGGTCATGAAGAGTCGGACACAACTAAATGACTAAACAACAACAACAACAAATATACTGGAAGCCACCCAGAGTGGCTGGGAAAACCCAGTCAGATGAGTGAGGTACAAATAAATTTTATTATTATTACTAACACCTGCAGTGAGGGCAGAGAGAGGTGGGTAGACGCTAGTCTACTGCAGAAAGGTAAAAGCCCCACCCACTGCTCCTCCCACTTTTGCCTCTGGCCCCGCCCACCACTGCCATGTGGCCCCTGCAAGTCTGCCTGGAAGGGAATGTGGTCCCCTGTCTTTGATGGCCCCATACCCACCACGGAAGAGAGCTCACCTGTCATGGAGCTGAAATTATAGGCGGGAGTCTTCTCCAAAGAGGCTTCTTCATCAGCCAAGTGCCCATTGGGCACATACCGAACCTCGTCACCTGAAACAGCTTCCCGACGCTCCGCGGAGGTGCTGCCGTAGCTGCTGCTCTCCGCTGCCTCCTCGTGTTGCACAAGAGGCTTTTCCTCCTCCTCTTCCACAGTGTCCCGCTCAGCCGCCGCTGGGGCCTTTGAGGAGTGCCCCAACGGCGGCGGCGGCAGGTCGTAGTACAGCGTCGCAACAATGATCTGCAGAAGCAGCCACACCATGCACATGAAGATCTGAAGGAATGGAGGAAAGAAAAGCCTGAGCATGAGTGCATCGCCCTGAACCGTCATTTATTTATTTGTTAAATTTATGTGCTACCCTTCATCGGAGGATCACAGGGTGGTTTGCTACAACAACAAGTCGCCCCCCCCTTTTTTTGTAATGTACACAGTATCTTTTTTCTGTTTTGTTTTTTCTGCATGGGTACTATTTGTAGCTATACTTTCTATGGACTCAGCTGCTTTAGTAAAAAAAACAGCGATTTGAATGTGCTATAAACATGCAACACCAGATGGCGCCAGAGAGCAGGAAATTTTAAAACACGATTTTCCATAGAGATTTTTTTTCTTTTGTTATAACAATCTAGTTCCTGACTTATTTATAGCATCCCCCCCCCCCCCCGTGTCTGGATCCACCCTTTTAAAATAAAGAATATATATATTTTTAAAAGGACACAGGGACTTACAGCCAGCCTGCTTGCTGGATCAGGCCAATGGCCCATCTAGTCCAGCATCCTGTTCTCACAGCGGCCAACCTGATGCTTGGGGGAAACCAGTGAGCAGGATTTGAGCACAAGAACACTCTCCTCTCCTGAGGTTTCCAGCAACTGGGATACTTCAGAAGCATGGCTCCTCCAGCTGTGGAAGCAGAGCAGAGCCATTGTGGCTAGGAGCCATCGATAGCCTTCTCTGCCTCCATGAATTTCTCTAATCCTCTCTTAAAGCCATCAAAGTTGATGGTAATCACTGCCTCCTGCAGGACCGAGTGCCATAGTTTTAGCAATGCGCTGCATGAAGAACAATTTCATTGATCTGCCCTGAAACTTCCCACATTCAGCTTCTTTGAATGTCCCCCAGTTCTAGTAAAAATAAATAAATTAAAAATGGATTATTATTTTTTACAATTTTTTATTTTTATTATTTATTTTGACTGCGTCAGACCAACACGGCTACCCCAGTTCTAGTGTTAGGAGAGAGGAAGAAAAACATCTCAGTATCCTCTTTCTCTATGCCACATATAATTTTGCAAACTTCCAGCTAGAACAATATTAAGGAGAAAAGATACTGATAACTCGTTTGCTAACAGCTCAAGACTAGAAGGACACTTCCACGAAGTCTATTACAAACTGGGGTTTTAAAAGCCTTATTTATAGCCGCATCCGAATAAATGCACTCACTAAGTCTGGATTCTCAGAGAGGAAGCGGATCTGTTGGGACTTTGCAGCTGCCTGGCGATTATTTTTGCACCTTATTTAATGACACAGTCGGCACATTCCATCCAAATATGATTTCATCTAGTGCTGGTTTTGATTATATGAGTCTTTGATCCCCTATTTCTGTCTTATGTTGGAATACTGCCACTTTGCCTCTTTTACACAAGCTCTGATTTTTTCCCCCTTTATCTTTCATCTCTTTACTTGACACCTGACCGGGCTCAAATGCTTTTCTTTTTCTCTTTTGTTGAATTCTCGCAATGCTCTGCCAGCCTTGTCACACACTGAATGAAATAATAATTAAAAAGTTGAATAGTTGGGGGCAGGTGGCTGATTCTTCCCCTCCAGTGTTTTCCAGCCACAGAGTCAGAGCATAACCATTCTGACTTTCCTCCAGCCTCTTACAAAGACAAATAACTCCTCCCAAAGTTAGACTGGGTGTATTTGCACCAGAATTAGGCAGGAATAAAGTGTTAGAATTCCTGCTCCATGACTGCAGTCATGGGATTTTTGTCTTTCACATGACGGTGTATGTTTTGACTCCACAGAGTGGGAAGTGAGGGAGACTGGATGTTTGTGTTACTGTGCTCCGTGAAGTGGGACTGTTGTCCTTTGGTTTTTTTCCCCTTGCTGTCTGATGCTAGAGAGAGAGGGGGAGCCATGTTGCAATGCTCCGTATGTGTTTATATGTAAATAAAGTAGATTAGCCAAAATGCTGAGTTGCTGAGGTCTGTCACGCGCATGATGCGGAAACTCTACGTGTGCCGATGTCTGTTGGCTGTGATGTTCGGATGGAAAAAAGCTTATGAAGCTCCCAAATGAAAGACCAGGAGGGAGAGAACATGCCAATCGGGTGTGTGTTTCTGCCAGGGTCCTACTCGAGTGTAGGACGAGCTGCTGACATAAAGTGATAGGAACTGCACTACTCTGGGACTATTCTGATACAATTAAATGATCCCCCACACAGGAGAACGCCCTGCACGTAGAAGTCTAGTGTGCCAGGGACAACGGTTCCAGCCCAGTCCTTTAGCTGATTCGCTTGATTTTCCAATCACAGGGATGTCTTCCTTTTCCACCCTACCTGCAATTTGAAAAGGCATTGCCCATCCTGCCCAATCTGCCAAACAGCCATGTGCAGGGGCGGCGCATCCTGTTTTGTCGCTTGAGGAGAAATGTGCAAAGCCCCCGCTGCTACCAGCATTGCACAGCGGTTGCCCGCAAAGTGCTGGCAGCAGTGCCAACTTTCAGTGAGGTTTCCTTTGCAAGATCTCAGGCATTTCGTGAGATCCCACTGGAAGCCAGTGCTGCTGGAATGGGCAGGCGGCGAAGGCAAGGTGGGCACCACCCCTCGGGCTCCTGCCGCTCAAGACGGGAGCCTCATCCTGCCTCATCCATGGGCCAGGCCTTGCACCATTGTGGAGAGGAGCTTGCCTCACCCATGGGATCAAATGCACCAGGCTGGATTATACATAGTTGCTAACAAAGTGCTTCTACTCACCCCAGGCGATGTGAACTTGTCGACCACGAAGGGCCCCACCTGGAAGTTACAGAGGCGCAGGAACAGGTTACAAGCTGGCCCTGGGGGGCAAAAGTGGCAAGTCAGGTGTCTGAAAGCAGCATGGCAGCAACGTACAAAAGCTTAGAATCTTAGAACTGTAGAGTCGGAAAGGACCCTAGTGCAAAACCCTGCAAGGCAGGAATATGCCGTTGTCTCATACAGGAACCGAACCTGCAATTTTGGCATTATCTGCACCATGCGCTAACCAACTGAGCCACGCAGGCTGCAACTTCCATGTTCAGCTTGTTGCGGCATGACCCGCCCACCCACTCTCACACAATTCTCAGTAGCAGCAATCCTTTCAAGCAGAGGCGCAGGTTGCCGATGGACATTTGGCCGGCCACTGTGAGACCAGGATGGTGGCTGGGACTGACCACTACAAACAAGTCCAAATTGCACTGACCAAGCAGGGTCTGTGTATGTTCTTTTACACTTCTGGCTGTGGAAGAGGGGCTCCTCCTCTCCTCTGAAGCCAGATCAGAAACACAACTCCCTTTTAGAAGGTTGGAAACTTTTATCTGCTAATCTGCAAGGCTGAGGCACATACTGGGAGAAAGAGACTTTGTGCTAGCCACCAGAAAATGGCTTTTCCCACCTGCTTTGCCCAACCCTCCAGCCCTAGCAGCCTTTCCCAGACCATGACTTAGGAACAGCAGAAGCAGCTGGGAAGAGATGAAGAGAGTTCGGGGATTATTCTTATTTTTAAAAAATTATTTTTAGACATTGTGTGTCTTTGCTTTTAATTTTGTATTGTTATTTTCTGCACTGTTACTTTTATAGATTATAGTTTAGAAATTATTGATTGTAATTGTTAAGAATGCATTTCTGTTTAGTTATTATTTGCTGATATTTAATTTTATTGTGTACTATTATATTCTAATGGATGGCCGAGTATTAGTTCATTTGCTATAACTTGTTTATTTTAATGTTACATTTTCACGATGACATTTCTGTACTGGATCACTCTGCTATAAGGTGTGCAAACTTTATTGTTTCTTCAGTTTGTGAGCTGCCTTGTGTACAGCAATATAGAAAGGCGGTATAAAAATTAAAAGTGAAATGAAAAGAAAAGAAACACTGCTTTTCCATGCAGAGGCACTTGCTACATCAGGATATCAAGGAACTGGGTCTACAAACAAGCCCAAATAAGCCTTCATTTGTATTGCACCTTTAAAAAAACCTACACCTTTCTCCTTCTCTGTGTGTGCATTTCAAACTGCAACAATTGCACTGCACCCAGTTTGTTCCTCTGAAAGCTTCCACACTGTTTTGCAATAATAAATAAATTGTTCCTGGTTAAGCAGGGAAGGGCTGAGGATTATGCCTCCCGCTTGCTCCATATGAAACAAAGCAAGCACGTTATGCCATACGAAGCAGTTAATCTGCATGTTCTTGTTCCTCAGAGCATCAGAAGAGACCTGCTGGGTCAGGTTAAATAATTCTCTGTCCCAGCATCCTGCTCTCCCCGTGGCCGGCCACATGCCGATGAGAAGTGCACAAACAGGACCTGAGAGCAAGAGAACTCTCCGCACATGTGAATTCCCGCAACTAGGATTCAGAGACATGCTGCCCCTGACAGCAGAGGCAGAGATCCGCCACTGTAGACATTAACCCTTGATCGTCACATCCTCCACGTGTTCCATCTTCTCCGTGGCAACTGCAGACTAAACAAATGGTCTTGATTGGAAAATTGGTCCACAAATGCACTGATCTCTACCTGTGATTTCCACCTGAGTCCCCACAAACATCCAGGGAGGTATGGTAATAACAGAAATGCATAGCCAGGGCAGGATGAAAACCTTTAGAGGACCTGAGCACTTTGGTACCCCCAAACATATCTAATTCAAAGTATTAATAATAATAAACCACAGAACAAAATTTGATTTGTCGAAATGAAACGAAATTAGTGAAATGCAGATTAAGTGATAAAGACTGAAAAATCTTCAGATGTAGTTGGTGGAAATCTAAAATATTGTATAGGATATGAACATAGGTTATATGATTTATGGAAATTATATGTAAAATTGAATAAAAATTTATAAAAAATAAAAAAATTCTCCTTTTTCTAATTGATCAGAACCTCAAAATTAATATTACATAACACATCTGCTTCTATACTTTGTAGAGATAAGGCACCCAGCCTGCCTCATTGCATATTTCTTCTGTTGGGATTTTTAATAGACTTCCACTGAGAAAATGAACGCTCAGCTGAGCCATTTGTAGCCAACAATGTTAAAAACCCAGCAATGGAAAAATTTCTGTGGTGCACCCCCCCCTTCCCTTAGTGCCCTAAGAATGTGCTTATTTTGCTTAATGGTTAACCCAGCCCTTTCCATAGCAGACAGGAATATACTGAAGGTTTTTAGAGGGCAGAGGAAATCAGACTTACCGATGAGTAGCCCAACCTGTCTGCATGCCATGACAGCCGCAAACACCGTGGCGCGCTCCTGGGACGTGGTGGTTCGGGTGATGTAGCCAAAGATGGATGCTCCTGCTCCTGTGCCCACACCTGCAGGGGAGGGCCAAGTACAAAGAGTCAGAGGGGGGAAGGGGGGACAGAGGACAGAGGCCATCCTAGCTGTAAGTCCTGAAAGACCTGCTCCCTGCCTTGCAGAGCTTTTTCTACCAGGCTGGGGAAGGCATGCCCCAGACTGACTCCAACTACAAAAAAAAACTAAGGCTGCTGAACAGACTCTTAGGCTGGGGTTTTGTTTGGGTGTGGGGGCCAGTTGTGGCTGTTAATTTTTGTATCGTTATTTTTAGATCTTATTCTGACTTGTGGGTAAATCATTATCAGATTGGTTGTGTACTTTTTGATGTGTTTCATTTATCGTTTATGACCGCTTTTGTCCTACAGTGGTACCTTTGTTGTCGAACTCAATCCGTTCCAGGAGTGTGTTCGACTCCTGAAATGGTTCGAAAACCAAGGCACAGCATTCGCAAACCGGAACAATCACTTCCGGGTTTGTGGCATGCGGGAACCAATTTGTTCGACAACTAAGCCGTTCGACAGCCAAGGTACCACTATATTTGTAATTATGCAAATTTCTTCACGTTGGAAGACACCCTGAGTATGGTTCTAAGTATGGAAAGGAGGCATACAGATAAAATGATCTGTGTATGTATGACAAAACCATCCCTAAAGCACGAGGGGGGGCTACTTTTGGCCTGCAGGCTGGGTTCAAGTGAAGGAAACCTTTGGGAGGGTGCATTCCAACAGGGGCGGGGCTCTAGGTGGAAGTGGGCGGGGCAAAAAGCAAAGCAAAACAAGGAATGCGAAATTCCAATCCAGCGATATCCATTTTAAATGGGGGGGGGGATAAAAATGAAGGAATGCTCTTTCCATCCCCATTAGACAACAACAACAAAAATACATTCACACCCCAATTTATTTTTAGAAAAGAGGAAACGCAGTGTTTTTCTCCAAGACCCACCACCCAAATGCAACTATTATTCAAAAAAATCTCACATGTGCAAACATAAATACACCCTCCACTCTATCACTTACCTGCCACCAGCCGACCACTCAGAAGCATCCATTTGGAACCACCGACAAAGTACATGAAGTTCCCTGGAAGCGGAAGACACAGGAAAGACAAGCATGAGTTGCAGAGGAAACCAGGCTAAATGAATCATCTTGCTCTAGAAAAAGCAACTTTCTCCCCAGTATAGCAATCCACTAGAAAGCAGGGCACAATTCAAGTCTACACGCCCTTTTTCTGGTCGATTCAGCTTGCGTGGTTAGGGTGGACTTTGCGCTCTTGTGCAACAAACCCACTTCCCCCACTTTCCTTACTTTTTGCTGTAAGGAAAGTGATGGGGAAAATGAGCTGGAAAGTGCAAGATGCAACCATCACTTGGCAAGTCGCCTGGAAGAGATCTGACATTTTAAATCCCTTAACATAAGACGAGCCTGCTGGATCAGGCCCATGGCCCATCCAGGATCCTGTTCTCACAGTGGCCAACCAGATGCCTATGGGAAACCCACAAGCAAGAACCAAGCACAAGAGCCCTCTCCTCTCCTGTGGTTTCCAGCAAAGTTTAGCTTCCACCTACCGTGGGGGAAAAGGGAGGCGGGTGGCGCTGTGGGTTAAACCACAGAGCCTAGGACTTGCCGATCAGAAGGTCAGCAGTTCAAATCCCCGCGACGGGGTGAGCTCCCGTTGCTCGGTCCCTGCTCCTGCCAACCTAGCAGTTCGAAAGCACATCAAAGTGCAAGTAGATAAATAGGTACCGCTCCGGCGGGAAGGTAAACGGCATTTCCGTGCGCTGCTCTGGTTGGCCAGAAGTGGTTTAGTCATGCTGGCCACATGATCAGAAGCTGTACGCTGGCTCCCTCGGCCAATAAAGCGAGATGAGCGCCACAACCCCAGAGTCGGGCACGACTGGACCTAATGGTCAGGGGTCACTTTACCTTTACCGTGGGGGACTGGAGTCTCATCTGCATGCTTTGACCCCAAACACAACCACTGCCCCTGCCACCACCACTCTCAATGCAGCCCCCACTTACCTGCTATCTGAAACAAGTTGGCGAAGAGGATGATGGCCTTGGTTTTATGGGTACGGTCAGACCAATATCCAAACAGCGGGCCTGTGATCAGCCCGGCAAAGCTAAAGGCAGAGATGCCCAGGCCCAGGAAGTAGGGCTCAGCATTGAGAGTTTGCAGGTAAGCCCAGAGGGTGGGCAGGATCACAGCTGCGGAGAGGCGAAAAAATAAACTCCAGTAAATAGAAAGTATCAAAAAGAGCATCCATCAGAAGCGGCTTCCAGAAAATATTATGATTAATACTATTGCTATTTAAATTTGCATACCCGCGGGTCACAGGGCAGTTACAACATAAAAACACAAAATACATAATAAAAGTAAATACCAAAACAACCCAATCACCCCCAACACATTTTAAAAGGACATCGGATGTCAGTCAGCCAAAGGCCTGGTTAAAGAGGAACCTTTTTGCTGGTCACCGAAAGGTGTATAATGAAGTCACCAGGCGAGTCTCCCTGAAGAGAGCGTTCCACAAACTGGGAGGCACTGCAGAGAAGGCCCCGTTCTCGTGTTGCCGCACCCCAGACTTCTTGTGGAGGAGGCACACAAAGAAGGGACTCAGATGATGATCTCAAGGTCTGGGTAGGTTCATATGGAAAGAGGTCCTCATTGAGGCATTGCGGTTCTGAGCCATTTAAGGGTTTATAAGGTTTAAGGCTTTATAGTTATGAGAGCAGGGGTCTTGAATACAATTTTGGGGAAGGGACAAGCCCCATCCCACACAATCGATCACATGACACGCTACATGCACATCATTTGTTTAGCAATGCCCATCTGTTTTTGGGGGGCAGCCCCCTCAAATATTTTATGGGGAGGGCCAAAGACCCCTCAGCCCCTAGGAGTTGGCTCCAGGTCATTGCCATGAGAGTTGTCCCGTGGTCTCTGCATTTCCCCCATGCTTTCTGAAACTCTTGTCTAGTGTGATCTCAAATTGCCTCTGTTAATCTAGCCAGTTCAATATACTCTTAACAGTTTATCTTGCCATTCCTTTTTTGCTGGCATAGTTTCCTTTTTCCAGTTTACAAAACACTTCACAAAGGGGTGCCCTAAAATACATACCTGGACTTGTTTCAATTAATGTCTGCAGGAGACTTTGTGGACATTTACGTAAGTTTTAATTAGAAAAATCTTAATAATTATTCATAAAGGAAATAGTTTATAAGAAGTAAATAAGGAGGCCAGATACAGGATAAAGGAAGTCTTTTATTTGGTTGTTTGTACTGTTGTGTGTTATGTTATGCTCACTGTTACAACATGTGCTTCTCTTTTTTTTTAACTCTCAAAACCCCGTGAAGCAACCTATTGGTTGTATTGTGACATCTGATTCCCACACTTAATCAAAGAACACGCAAGCAGCACAGCATTTGCTGCAAGAAGAACGCAAGGCAGGTTCAATCCCTACTGGCATTTCCAAGTATAATAATAATAATAACAATAATAATAATAATCTATTATTTGTACCCTGCCCATCTGGCTGGGTTTCCCCAGCCACTCTGGGTGGCTTCCAACAAAGATTAAAAATACATTAAAATGTCACACATTAAAAATTTCCCTGAACAGGGCTGCCTGTATGGCTGGGAAAGATTCAATTCCTGGAACCCTGGAGTTTCACTGCCAGCCAGTGCAGACAAGATGGAACTAGATGGGCCAACGGCCTGACATCATACAAGGCAGCTTCCCGTATTCTTATGCAAAACCAGAGCTCTGCTGGGTCAGGCCACAGGTCCAACTGGTTCACCCATCCTGCTGCCCACAGTGGCAAGCAAGGCTTGAAGGCAACAGTCCTCTGCCATTATTGCTCCCCAACCAACACCTTTCAACGTGGCAGGCTGCCTCTGCTCCTGAATACATCATGGTAACTAGGAGTCATTAATATCAGGAGTGACACCGTGCAAGCTGGAGTTATTTGTTAGCAAGAAACTGATCTGCACAGACTGGGTGGAGTGTCAGGCCTCATGAGCACAGCAGCTCCTCCCTTGCTTGCCATACGTCAGGAAAATTCCTGCTGTGCTGGTTTTTGGGTGTAAAAATGGCGTCGAGGGGAGGTTTTGCCGAACTGGCAAAAAGTCAAGGAAAACCTGGATGTATGGCAACGTGATGGAAAAAGCAGCTCAGAAAGCTTTTAATAATGAAGAACATGTTTATCTCCACTTTCTCCAGGCATAATTTTGTACAACTCACAGTCATGTCTCGTCTCACCTTTTCTCTAAATGAAACATCCACCTATTCTCTAAATTTTAAATCCTCCAAGGTTGCAACTTTTCCTCATAGGGAAATTGTTGCATCCCCTTGATCATTTTGGGTTCCCTTTTCTTAACATCAAGATCAAGTATTACAAGAGTGGGAGAAAAACCTCCCCTCTGTCCACTTTATCCACACTATGCCTAATTTTAGGGATCTTTATCACATCCTCCTTTAGTCACGTTTTTCTAAGCTTTATCCTTCCAAGTGTCCTGCAACTATTATTGATTTTGTACATTTGTCTCTTGGCTTTCTTCCGTGAGGGCTTTCAGAATTTCTTCCATCCTGGCACTGACAAAGACCCAGGCAGGCCTGTTCAGTTTCTGCAAGGCTGCTGCTTCCAGCTCCTTGAGAACAGTGGAAAGAATCTCACATTCAAGGGTGAGCCAATGTGAGGACTAGGGAGCTGTAGTCCAGCAACACGGGCATCACCCCTGACCTTGGCAATGCTGTCTGAGGCTGATGGCACCTGTGGTCCCTATTGCCTACCCCCTCTGACTCCAATCATGCTTACTCCAGCATCTTAACCCGAAAACATTTTCATATTGCAGCCCAAGCCTATTATGTCCTTACTCTGGAGTATGGCCTGCTAACCTCATCTCATTCACAGAGCAGAGGAACAGCAACCCAAACAGCCAACCTATCCAAGGACAATTGGCAAGCTTCTAGAAGTCAAAGGTTAGGATGCAGATACTAGTTTCCTGGGAGAAAACCATTTGCAACTGGAAAACAAATTCACAAGGCACAGCATTCTAGACTCCGCCGGAGAAAACCAACTGCACAGGTTGAAAGTGGTGAGAAGTGAGAGTTGAGTATGTTCAACTTGGAAAAGAGGAGACTGAGAAGAAATGCAACAGCCATCTTCAAATATCTGGAGGGCTCACACATGGAAGAGCGTGCAAGCTTGCTTTCTGCTGTTCTAGAGCGCAGGACTTAATCCAATGGATTCAAGTTACAAAAAAGATTATTCCAAATAAACACCAGGAAGAACTTTCTGACAGTAAGAGCTGTTGGATAGTGGAACGGTCTCCCCCGGGAGGAGGTGGACTCTCCTTCCTTGGAGGTTTTTAAGCAGAGGTTGGATGGCCATCTGTCATGGATGCTTTAGCTGAGATCCCTGCATTGCAGGGGGTTGGACTAGATGACCCTCGGGTCTCTTCCAACTCTAAGATTCTAAGTGATGGGCACGGCAAACTACTTCTTACTTCCTCCCACCTATCTGGGAATGGCAGAAGCAGGAAGCAAAGCAGGTGTGTGTGGAAAGTTCAGGGCTAAAGAACTGCACCTTCTCAAACTTAACCACGCAATTCATTTGATTATCTACAGGCCAGGATCTTGTCAAGGCAGGCATGCTGAACAACTGGCAGAGGCACAAAAACCTCAAAAGACTCAATATGCACTTCTGGAACATGCAATAAAGATGAGAATCTCTCTACGAAATCTGCATTAGATCAGAGCATGGGGAGGCAACCTAAAGCTGGGGCTGGATCCGGCCTTCTAAATCCGACCCGCAGAGGGTCCAGGAATCAGCATGTTTTGACATGAGTAGAATGTGTCCTTTTATTTAAAATGCATCTCTGGGTTATTTGTGGGGCATAGGAATGTGTTATTCCCCCCCCCAAAAAAATAATATATAGTACAGCCCCTACAAGGTCTGAGGGACAGTGGACCGGCCCCCAGCTGAAAAAATTTGCTGACCCCTGGATCAGAGGATCAAGCCAGGGAGGGTCCAAGCAAACTGGACTTCCTCCACCATCAAGCTCCTCCCCTTAAAACCTGAGCTTCCTAGGGGCAGAGTGTGCTACTTCAGCATCAAGGGAGCCCTTTCTGGAGGACCTCTTGGCCAAATAGTGCAAAGCAGCCTCCCTTTCCCCTTTGTGCTGTGTGTGTCTTTAGCTTATAAGCACCAGAGCAGGCACTGTTTTGTTTTGCTCAAATGCAAGTCACTCCTGGAGCCTTTTTGGACTGGAGACCTGGGTACCAGGGCTGTAAAGCCGTAGTAAAAATAATAATAAACACCAGCATGATGAGACCAGCTTCAACTAAAACGGTGTGTGTGTGTGTCATAGGAACCAACTCATAAGAGCTGAGGTCCCTTTGACACCCCCCCAGTAAAATATTTGAGGGGGGTGTCCCCCATGTTGATGGGATGGGCATTGCCATTCAAATGGTGTGTGTGTGTGTGTGTGTGTGTGTGTGTGTGCCGCATCCTGGGACAGATTACATGGGGCGGGCTTACCTGCCCCCCCCCATATTTTATTCAAGTTGGCACCCCTGGCGTGTGTAGATATGTGCATGCGTGTGAGGGGGGGGACAGAGGGATCAAGCTATATATAAAATTGTGGGGTATCAAATCTAATAATAAACACAAAAACAACACCAGCATGTTGAGACGAGCATCAGCAAAAACCGCATATACAGTGGTACCTCTGGTTAAGAACTTAATTCGCTCTGAAGGTCTGTTCTTAACCTGAAACTGTTCTTAACCTGAGGTCCCACTTTAGCTAATGGGGCCTCCCGCTGCCGCCGCGCCCCCAGTGTGCAATTTCTGTTCTCATCCTTTAGCAAATTCTTAACCCGAGGTACTATTCCTGGGTGAGCGGAGTCTGTAACCTGAAGCATCTGTAACCTGAAGCGTCTGTAACCCGAGGTACCACTGTATATGTACGTGTGTAGGGGCGTGTGTGTGATGAAGTATATAAAATTGTCAAGTCTGTATCCAGGGTCTAAACACTCCCCCCCCCCATCCCATGCCCAGGGAATCTCACCGTACTCAATCCCTCCCGACAGGAAAAGGAGGCCAATGGTGAGGTTGGTCCATTTCTTCTTCCGCTGCACATCCATAGACACCTGGCGTTGGGTTCTCCCCGGGGACAGAGGCGGCCCGTCGAAGGAGCGTGGAGCCGAGGTCTCCTTCCTCCCTCCGGAGAGCTCAAAGGGCAGCTGGAGGCGGCGGCAGCGGTGCCATCTTCCTCCTCCTAACCCTCACCATTCTCCCTGCCTCAGCAGCAGCAGCAGCAGCAGCAGCAGCAGCAGCAGCAGCAGCAGCGTTCCTCTCCAGCCCTTTTTACGCACACGCCCATCCAGGAGCCCCTTGGCGCTCTCCCTCTCGCAGCCCGCAACCTGCGCGTCGCTGCAGCTGTTTTGCCCGACCAAGGCAGCTGCAGCCGGGAGAAAGTTTATTGAATGGTCGGCGAGCGGGCGGGACGAGCGCGCGCAGCAGCCAATGGAGAGCGCATCCTCGTCCCCCAGCCTACCCGGCTTCCTCGCCCTCCTGCTGCTAACCTGGCATCGGGAAGGAAAGGGGCCGGGCGGCCAATGGGAGCGCGCCTCCTCATAGACACATGCAAAGCATCCCTAAGTCACCTGGCCGAGAGCCCTCTCCGTTCGCGCAGGAGGCAGGTTGGGCGCCTCGCTGTGTATTTCCTTAGCCTTGTCCGCCAGATTTTACGCACACGCGTTGGAACGTAGCCTTACACTGAGTGGCGCATCTGGCACAGGGTTGCCTTCTGGCCAGAGGCTCTGCAGGATTGCAAGGCAGGGAGCGAGTCCCATCCTTACCTTTAGACGCCGCCCTCAGTATTGGAAAATGGTGCCTGCGCTCTGCCGCTCAGCTACGACCCTTCCGAAGTGGGATTTTGCTTCCAAGCAAGGAGTAAAAAGCAGGGCTGTCAATGGTTTCGGAAGCCGAACAGGCTTGCTTTTTTCTGCTGCGCATGCAATGCTGCGAAGGGCTACACCGGCTGAATTTCTGCATTTTGCTGCAGCTCTAAAACGCACAGGAAACCCACCCAGAACAGCAGTCTGGTAGCTCCTCTGAACAGCACATAGAATCATAGAGTTGTTAGGGACCCCCAGAGTCATCTAGTCCAACCCCCTGCAATGCAGAAATCTCAGCTAAAGCACCCATGACAGATGGCCATCCATGACATGAAGGAGTACAAGGTTGTACTTGGTGGTTGTGTTTCTGCCCCTTGTGAATAACCTTACTTTAGAGGTCCTGGGCCCTAAGGAAGTCAGACTATCCTCCACCAGGGGCAGGGCCTTTTCAGTGATGGCTCTGACCTGGTGGAATGCTCTGTCCCATGAGACCAGGGCCCTGCAGGATTTAACCTCCTTCCGCAGGGCCTGGAAGACAGAACTATTCCGCCTGGCCTTTAATTTGAATTCAGCCTGATCTTTTATTTACCTTCTCTTCCTTACCCCTCCCCTTCTATGAAGATCACCTGCTCTGAGACCCCACAGCTAATTCTCCCCTGGCCTCCTCGCTGGCCCAAGTAGGACCAATTCAGCCAGCTAGCCCTGGGGATTATCTAATTGATTTTTGATTTTTGAATTTTATTGTTATTCATGTTTTTGTACTGTATTTTATGCTGCTTTTATAATTGTTTTAAAATGTTTTACATTTGTTGTTAGCTTCCCTGAGCCCGGTTTTTGAACCGGGAAGGGCGGGGTATAAATTAAAAATTATTATTATTATTATTATTATTATTATTATTATTATTACATTTAAGCTGCAGCATCAAGGTGGAAAAAATTCAACAGGTGATGCTTCTGCCCGCATGCAGATTCAGTGATGGGTAAAGCTTCACCAGCTGGGTTTGTGAAATCATTCAGCAGCTTTATTTACTGGCTTGGCTGTGCAAATATACAAGCGATACTTGAATGCATTTGGAAGAAAAGGTCTCCCCAAGGGTGTTCCTCTGATGAAGAAAGACCAAGGCCAGCTCAGTAACTTTTGCTGCCTGAGGCATGATGGCACCCTCCACCAAAGTGCATACAGAAACCAACTGGACTGACAGCTGAATCATACTCTAGTTCTGGTCAAAGGACAATTTCTTGCACTGCACTTGAGGGCAGCAGGTTGGCACAGGGGGTACAAAGCAGGCCACGTGGCTCTCACTGCTCTGTCCCCTCCCCACCCCTCAGTATCTGCCACCTGAGGCAGCTGCCTCACTTGCCTCATCATAGGGCCAGCCTTGAGAAAGATCACCAGCCACACATTGCAGCTTGCCAAGGGCAATTGCTGCCTGGAAGCAAGACCAGAAAGCTCATCAAGTCCCCTGGTGAGCTACTATAGATTTGTAAACTTCTGTAGGAGCCTTCCTCCCCCGCCCCCCCGCTGAAGTGTGTGATACATATTATTATTACTCTTAATTGTAAAAAGGATATGATATATGGTCAGTCGGCTGTATTCAGCACATAGCTGTCAAGTGTCCCTTATTTGAAGGGACAGTCCCTTATTCCAGCGCCATGTCCCGCTGCTGTCCCTTATTGATGGATGTCCCTTAAATGTCCCTTATTGATGGATGTCCCTTAAATTTCAAAGGAAGCAGCTCCTCTCCCTCCCTCCCTGCCGGCCAGGGAGGAGGGAGGCTCCAACTGTGTTGCATGGCTGTGTTGCTCACCCAATAAGAAGTCTAAGAACGACTGGGGGTGGAGCTTGCATGCCTTGTGTGTGGCTAGTTAATGCAAGCGGAGGGGGTTTTTGAATGCTGGACGCCATTTTGTTGCATGTGCTGCTGCAAACTTTGCAGTGCAAAGCCAGGCCGGGGAGCCATCTTAAGTTGAGGCTGCATAGGCCTTGTGGTGCATGTGATTCAGATTCTATTCAGTTGAACCTCTGGTTACAAAGTTGGTTGGATATTGTTCTTGAAGCTACCAGCATGAGTTTGACCAGACTGCAGGAGGACAGGAAGACTGGAGTGCCTGGAACAGGTGAGGCTGCAGGTCCCTTATTTTGGCTGCTGGTCCCTTATTTTCAAATCTGTAAGTTGACGGCTATGATTCAGCATGTGCTGGGTCACAGGTGGTGCAAAGAATCCATCGGGGCCTTAAGTGCTATGTTAAATTGACCAACTACAAAGAAGTTGCCACTCTGAGTAGTGGCATTTCTGTCTGTTATGATGCTAATAAAATAGGTGGATAAAATCTTGGAAGCCAGAACTGGTCCAATCCTGTGCAGATGGAATGGGAAAAGTTGCAGCAACGCAAGAGAGGAAGAAACCGCTCAACTCCCGCAGTACCATTGGCTCGATAACTGAAATTATTTAAAAGAGCAGCTGCCAATGCACTCCAGGCAATGTAAAGGAAATACTTTAATTAATAGGCAGTTAATAATTATCAAACACTCGTATGCATCGTTGAATATTCAATGGCAGCATTTAAAACACTATATATATATATATATCGTAAACCGCCCTCTAATCCTCAGACAAAGGGCGGTGTGGAAATTTAATAAATAAAATAAAATAACCACACGGTGCACCGTAATACTTAAATTTATGTAAGTTAAAGGTTTTTTTAAAAAAAGTAAACGCAGGATGAAAAATAAAATATATAAATGAAATAGAATGCATTTAAAACAGGGTGATATACATACACGGATAAATATACGTACACTCTACACACACAAATATATACTGTATTTATTACTCCTGCCCCGCCCCTTCCCTTTATTGCAGGTTTAAAGGTCGGGGTCTTTTTGCCCTCTTTCGGGCTTCCAAACAGACTTGTGCGCGTGCAGCCGAGGGACGCCCCCTCCCCTCCCCGCCATTCTCGCCCTCTTCCTCCTCCCAGTCGCTGCCGCCCTTTCCCCGCCACCCCCTGCCCTCTTCCAGCATGTCCGCTCGAGCCTCAGGCTGCGGACGTCATCGCCAGGCGCCCGCGCCGGAAGCGAAGGGAAGAGAGCGGCGCTCCATGCAGACCGCGAGCGCGCGCGTGGCTATAGCAGGTCGGGAGCCCCCGGCTGCTCCGGCTGCTCCTCCCGCGTTGCCATGGCCGGCATCCTCTTCGAGGACATCTTCGACGTGAAGGACATCGACCCCGAGGGCAAGAAGTTCGACAGGGGTGAGAGGCAGGCGCTCGTTTTCCAACCTCGGGGGCCACAGTGGTCCTTTTCCTGCGGGGGGTGGGATGGATGACCTTTGGAGGGTCCCCTCTTTCATTCTTCCCGTGGTCCTATCCTTCCCCGTTTCTGTCTGCCCACCCTGCTCCTGGACACGGAACCTCATCCTTGCTTCCCTGCCCGCCTGCCTGTAGGCTGGTCGATTTATACTGTGTTAGTTTTATGATGTTAGCCTCCCTGAGCCCGGGGAGGGCGGGGTACAAATAAAAAATAATTATTGTTATTATTATCTACAGTAAGCCCACAGCTTAAGCAATGTGTGTGTGATGGATCGCACCCAAAGCCAAAGGCATTTATAGTCGAAACCCAATGGGTGCAATGGCGGGTAGGATTGCTCCCCCTTTAAAAAATTTTTTGCCTTGGGCGCAGCTGAACACACACAAGTTAAATGTACCTAAGTTGCAGGCTTCCTGCATTTACATGTGCAGTGTACCCTTTCTTTTTCTCCTCCAAGGCTCTTGAGGTGGAGTGTTCTTGATTTCTTTCTCTCCCTTCCCCTCATCCCCCAGTTCCCCCCTCCCATTTTACTCTTGCAAACTACCCTGTGAGGCGAGTTTGGTGGGTTGTGATAACGGCTCTGAGCTTTATGGTTGACGGGGAATTCAAATCTGAATCTCTCCACACACCACCCAGCATCCTATTTATTTATTTCTATTGAATGGAGAAGGCCCTCTCCGCCTTAGGGTCAAACTTCTTTTCAGGCGTTTTTGGAATTGGTTTTAAAAAACTGTTTTAACTGTTTGCAAATCTCCCTGAGACACATAGAAATGGTGCTTTGTAGATACGTCATATATTGAATACAATCTCAAAGCAGTTTGGAAATAAAAACCATTTCCTATGTGTATATAAACAGTTTAAAATCCAGTGCAGCTACATACTAGTCCAACACTCTTTATTTTATTTTTTAAAAATGATATTTATTAAAGTTTCAAAGAAAAAATTACATAGCTAAAAAGAAAAAGAAATAAAAAAGGAAAAAATACAAAATACAGAAAAAAGATAGAAAACACTTAAAAAAAAAAACACACATCGATCTTTCCATAACTTACATTTCATTTCCTTACTTCCCTGACTTCCTCACACCTCCCTTTTTTGTATTCCAGTTCTATTAGTTAATTCAGCAATTCCTTTCCCTCTTTGTTTTTATCTTAATCCTTTAACTTAACATATTATAACTTTAGATTCTCATCTGTTAACAATCCATTTGTACATACACCTTTATAACATTGCTGCTAAAACCACTTAATTTCATTCTGACATCATTCTAACATTCATTAATTTTGCAATATTTCTGTAAATAGTCTTTAAATTTCTTCCAATCTTCTTCCACCGACTCTTCTCCCTGGTCTCGGATTCTGCCAGTCATTTCCGCCAGTTCCATATAGTCCATCACCTTCATCTGCCATTCTTCCAGAGTGGGTAAATCTTGTGTCTTCCAATACTTTGCAATAAGTATTCTTGCTGCTGTTGTGGCATACATAAAGAAAATTCTGTCCTTCTTTGGCACCAGTTGGCCGACCACGCCCAGGAGAAAAGCCTCTGGTTTCTTCAAGAAGGTATATTTATATACCTTTTTCATTTCATTATAGATCATCTCCCAGAAAGCCTTAATCCTTGGGCAGGTCCACCAAAGGTGAAAGAATGTACCTTCAGTCTCTTTACATTTCCAACATTTATTATCGGGCAAGTGATAGATTTTTGCAAGCTTGACTGGTGTCATGTACCACCTGTATATCATTTTCATAATATTCTCTCTTAAGGCATTACATGCCGTAAACTTCATACCTGTGGTCCATAACTGTTCCCAGTCAGCCATCATTATGTTATGTCCAACATCTTGTGCCCACTTAATCATAGCAGATTTAACCGTTTCATCCTGAGTATTCCATTTCAACAGCAAGTTATACATCTTTGACAAAGTCTTAGTTTTGGGTTCTAACAGTTCTGTTTCTAATTTTGATTTTTCCACCTGGAAGCCTATTTTCTTATCCAAATTGTATGCCTCCATTATCTGATAATAATGAAGCCAATCTCACACTTTGTTTTTTAGTTTCTCAAAGCTCTGCAATTTCAGTCTATCTCCCTCTTGTTCCAGAATTTCCCAATATTTCGGCCATTTGGCCTCCATATTGAGCTTTTTCAGAGCTTTCGCTTCCATCGGTGACAGCCACCTTGGGGTTTTATTTTCCAGTAGGTCTTTATATCTTATCCAGACATTAAACAATGCTTTCCTGACAATATGATTTTTAAATGCTTTTTGTGCTCTGACCTTATCATACCACAAATATGCATGCCATCCAAATACATTATTAAAACCTTCTAAGTCCAAAATGTCTGTGTTTTCAAGAAGCAGCCATTCTTTCAGCCAGCAAAAAGCTGCTGATTCATAATAAAGTTTAAGGTCTGGCAGGGCAAATCCACCTCTTTCCTTTGCATCCGTTAGTATTTTAAATTTTATTCTAGGCTTCTTGCCCTGCCAGACAAATCTAGAGATATCTCTCTGCCACCTCTTGAAGCAATCCATTTTGTCCAAAATTTGCAATGTTTGAAAGAGAAATAACATTCTAGGCAATACATTCATTTTTATCGCAGCAATACGGCCTAGCAGTGAAAGCTTCAAATTTGACCAAATTTCGAAGTCTTTTTTCACTTCAGCCCAGCATTTTTCATAATTGTCTTTAAATAGATTCCCATTTTTTGCTGTCATGTTAATCCCCAGGTATTTCACTTTCTTAACCACTGTTAAACCTGTCTCATTCTGAAACCTCTCTTTCTCAATCACAGTTAAGTTTTTCTCTAAGACCTTTGTTTTTAACTTATTCAATTTAAATCCTGCAACCTGACCAAATTCTTGAATCAGTTCCAAAACCCTTTTAGTACTAGATTCTGGCTCCTGCAATGTCAATACTAAGTCATCTGCAAATGCTCTCAATTTGTACTGTTTAGCTCCGACTTGTATACCTTTAACCAATTGGTCCCTTCTAATCATGTTCAGCAGGACCTCCAGGACCAATATAAATAGCAATGGGGAGATTGGGCAACCTTGTCGTGTCCCTTCTTCTATCTTAAATTCCTCTGTCACCACGTTATTTACAATTAATTTAGCCTTTTGTTCTGAATAAATTGCACTTATACCGTTTTCAAAGCCTTGGCCTACCCCCATCCCCTGTAGGTTCTTCTTCATGAAACTCCAAGAAATATTGTCAAAGGCTTTCTCCGTGTCCACAAATATCAAAACTGCCTTGGTATTTATATTCACTTGTAGTTTTTCTAAAATATTGATTATGTTTCTCACATTGTCAGACAAATGTCTACCCAGGAGAAAGCCTGCTTGATCTTTATGTATCTCTTCCATTAGGACTCTTTTTAGTCTTTTAGCCAAAATGTCTGCAAAGATTTTGTAATCCACATTGAGCAGTGATATGGGGCGGTAGTTCTTAAGCTGGGTCTTTTCAGTCTCTATTTTCGGTACAAGTGTAATATACGCTTCTTTCCACGACTCTGGTGCCCTTTTCCCACCCATTATTTCGTTACAGACTTCCTTTAAAGGTTGTACTAGCCATTCCTTCAAGGATCTGTAGTATCTAGAAGTCAGTCCATCCGGTCCTGGAGATTTACCTAGTTGCATATTCTGAATGGCACCTTCTACCTCCTGTTCAGTTATTTTATAGTTCAGCATTAATTTATTTTCTTGAGAGATTCTTGAGAGATATGATAGCCATGTTCAAATATATAAAAGGATGTCACATAGAGGAGGGAGAAAGGTTGTTTTCTGCTGCTCCAGAGAAGCGGACACGGAGCAATGGATCCAAACTACAAGAAAGAAGATTCCACCTAAACATTAGGAAGAACTTCCTGACAGTAAGAGCTGTTCGACAGTGGAATTTGCTGCCAAGGAGTGTGGTAGAGTCTCCTTCTTTGGAGGTCTTTAAGCAGAGGCTTGACAACCATATGTCAGGAGTGCTCTGATGGTGTTTCCTGCTTGGCAGGGGGTTGGACTCGATGGCCCTTGTGGTTTCTTCCAACGCTATGATTCTATGATTCTCTCTGCCTCTACAAAACTGAGTCTGGAGTGACTTGGCATTCCAGCAGAAGTGGAGAAGCTCTGCCTTCTATGCCTCTATCCCCTAATTATTTGACAGCCAGATTTGTCTCCCTCCAGTCTCCCGACTGCATTGTGAGAGCGAGTCTTTCAAGATGGATTTGATCCTGGATGTGAACATACAGATCTACCCTGTCGATCTTGGTAAGTGAGTGCAGTCAGGGGGCTTGCCTGGCAGTGTTTCTCTGACCCAGAGCTAGTTAAAACTTTTTTAGCACATGGATCATTTTCCCTGCACACCCACCCATCCCAACATTACATGCCAGCAGTGAATGTGTCCATAGCAAAAGCAGGCATGACCATCCCGTAATCACAAACACGCATCACACTTACACATTCCCATTGCACACTTGCCACATGCATAGATTTCCCCCTCGCCCATTGTTTGAATGCACCCATATGTCTTGAAACACATGACATTTTTTTCCTGGAAATACAGCTGCCAAATGCGTGATGTATGAAGCTAGACCAGGCATGTCCAAAGTCCATTTTGGGGGCCTAATCCGGCCCGCTGGTTGGTTTAATCCGGCCCCTGTGGCAGTTTATTTCCTGGGGTAAAATCCTAAAAAAAAACTCAACAATTTCAATCCTGAAAGAAAGCTCAACAACTTCAATCCTAAAAAAAGGTCAGCAATTTTGGTCGGCCATCACGGCCCTTCACTTCATCAAATCTGGCCCTCTTTGAAAAAAGTTTAGACACCACTGAGCTAGACAAATGCATTGCGACATTAATCTCACAAACATTAGCTGTAGTGAAAAGACTCCTCGCTGTCTTATTTTTGTTTTCCCGTTCATTTCAGGTGACAAATTCCGCCTTGTGATCGCCAGCACCTTGTATGAAGACGGGACCTTGGATGATGGAGAATATAACCCAACTGATGACAGGCCATCCAGGTAATGGGGGTCCAGAGGATGGCAAACAGAGAACTAGCCAAGGAGAGGGCTTCACAAATCAGTCCTGTGGTTGTGTGCCCTTCCTTTCAGCCTTCTGTAAGGTCGAAAACTAGCTTCTTTTTGTAGTTCCTCCGAAACCTACACTAGATGGTATCTGTCTGGCTCGAGAGACAATGAAGTGTGCCTCCCAGGGTGAAGTCAAACCACTGTGTTAGCAGCACAAAAGTGTCTTCTCCAGGGCAAAAGCATGGGCAGTGTAGAGACCCAAAGTGTGTCCTTACTTGAAGTGTAAACACAATGGTTCTACTGCCTAATCCATGGGTTGGGGAGCTGAAGCCCAGGGGCTAAATGTGGCCAGCCAGGTCTCTCTGTCTGATTCTTGGAGCTCTCTCCTGGCTGTACCCCTCTCTGGCTCTGCTTTGCACCACAGGTATTTCTGCCTCTGTGGAATGTCTCTTTGAACTCTAATGATGCCCTTTGCCAGTCTGGATGGAGGATTGAGAGACAGAGAGAAAGATTTGCATGCCTTGCTCCACCCACTTCTTCCTCTGGCCCCTCATAGGTTGCACAGGATGAAGTGCAAGCCCTTGAGCTGAATTAGGTTCCCCACCCCTATTTTCATCCTCTGCAGTTTGCTCCTGATGCACAGGGCATCTGTCTGTCTGCTTGGCACTCCCTAAGCCACTCCTCTCATGAGCTCCCTCTTCAGTTCTTCCTGCTCCTCTTAAGTCCTCCTGGGCTGGGCCAGAGAGGAAAGAGCTATAAAAGGGGTGCTGTTTGCTGCAGATGTGCTGCACAATATTTTGTTTGCCTTTGTTACCCTGTATGTATTTTACATTTATTTCCTGCCTTTCCTCCAAGGAATTCAAAGGGGAGGTTGTGGCTCTCTGTTCTCTGCACACTCTGATCCTCACAACAACCTTGTGAGGTGGGCGGGGCAGAGAAAGAGAGATTCTGCCAAGGGCACCTATGTTGGAAGGCAGATTTGAAACCAGGTTTCCTTAGATTTAGTCCAGCACTCTAGCCGCTATACCGTACAGCCCAAGGATGGGACACCTGTGGTCTCGCACTTGTGTTTGGCCTACAGTGCCTACCATCCCTGGCCATTGACTATTCTGGCTGAGGCTGATGGGAGTTGGAGTCCAACAAAACTTGGGAGGGTCGGAGTTTGCCCATCTCTGATATGACATGCAGGACATCTGGTGAAGGCATCTGAACTTATTGTTCCCCAGGCTGCAAGTGGATTTAGAAAGAGGAAATCCGCAGGCTCTGTGATCTGCACTGTTTAAAACTTGTGATGCAGCTGAAACAGATACGCAGATCTTTATTAGCATGTTGGTACAACTTGAAGTGATGCGATGGCCACAAAACCACACATGTTCTCTCCTTCTCTTCCACTGTTCCTTTTGGCTCCAGGGCAGACCAGTTTGAGTACGTGATGTATGGGAAGGTGTACAGGATCGAGGGAGACGAGACGTCCACAGAGGCCGCCACACGCCTGTAAGTGTTCCTCCTCTTATTTGCGGAAAGGGCTGGTTGGAAATGAATAGGTACATAATAACCTTCTCACAAGCTCTCTGAGCGTGGAGTATAGCTCTTTGAAATGCTCTATGGAAGGAGTTAAGCGACTGGATTGGGGGCAGTGGGGAGTGAATAGGAACACAGTAGGAAGTCTTTCCCAGGTTGTTGGACGCCTGTCCTATAGAGCCAATGGAGCACCGCCCCACCAGTAATATGCCCTCAGCCAGCCCCACCTTCCTGGCATCTAACTTACAGCCAGGCAGGCAGTGGTGTGTCCTGTCATTGCCTCTGGCGCCACCTGCTGTTGAGCTCCCTGCCTTCCACCCTACCGGACCCACTGAGCACCAGCCGTGGAAAGTGAGGGCCAAGAAGGACGTCCAGCAGAACTGGGGGCAGGATGGGGACACAGACATGCAGCCTCTTGTGGGAGTGAGGTCCATAGTTTAAGTGTTGCATGATTCCGCTGGGGTTGTTTTAAGCCCCTGTGGCTGCCGTGGTCTCCCTTCCTGCGTCTCACCTTTCTCTGGCCCACCCTTCCTCCTCTAGCTCTGCCTACGTGTCCTACGGTGGGCTGCTGATGAGACTCCAGGGAGATGCCAACAACCTGCATGGCTTTGAAGTAGACTCCAGGGTTTATCTCCTGATGAAGAAACTGGCCTTCTAACCGCCTTGGGAGTTGTCGTGGCAGCAGCTTGGACTCAGTGTGGGGCAGTGTTGGCATTTGCTGCCTCCCAAGTATACGGAGGGAATATTGCTGGCATGGGGTGTGTGTGTTAAAAGAAGCATCTCTCCCCAGCTCCTCTCCTCCTCCTCCTCTTCCTCCTCCTCACATCCCCCCAGCCAAGCCTCAAGGAAGATCATCTTTCTTCGGATTCTGCCAGGACTGCAGTGTGAAAATGTATCCCAAATGTCCCCTTGGTTGCAGCAGGCAGAGTGCCAGGCCAACTGAGAACATCCCCTACAACTAAGATGTTGAAAGGGCTACGGATTTTCTCTGTGCCTATGATAAACTCATTTTTATTACACAGGTGATTGTGGTAAGGACACAGTTCTGTGAGAACCAGCATTGCCATCATAAGCTGGGTTGGGAACGGCCATCTTCGCTGGGGGCCTGGGGAAGAGGAGGTAGCCTCTGTTTGACCTCAGTTTCTTACCTTAATTAAATGTAGCTTTTATATAAATATATATATTTGGCTGTTGTATATACGCTAGAAAGTTCACTGCCCAAGCATTTGAGAATAACAAGCTTGCAAGACTGCAGTCAGAAATCCATATTCTGCAGATTGAATTCACTTATCTGTTTGCTTTTGGAGACCTTTTGATTTGTGATATATATTCCTAATGTTCAGGATCTGGATTCTTCCTCACCACCCCCCACTCCAAATACTGCAATCCTGGCCAAGTTTCATCTCAAATAGCAAAGGAGACATGGCCTTCCTGGGCAGAAGGACAGAGAGCGAGACAGATGAAGAGAAAGCTGGCCTGATAATGTCAGAAAGGAAAAGGGGGAATGACAAGATTCTGGGCTAGGACCAGGATTCTGGCTTTTGTGGTGTAATAGGAGATTCCCTTGTGGATTCGAGTACACCAAATTCATACTTTATTCAGCAATGCACTACCAGACAGAGTTCAAAGAGTGCATGAAAGCTTTCCATTAGGACGCTCTATGTAGGCAAAATATATGTCATACTGGCTGTTTCACCCTCTAGCCAACCAGCCTCTGTTAACTGATCGCTCCAGTATCTCTCGTTCAGCCACAGTCCTTGGAAACACTGACTCAACACTATTTTTTACTGTACGTGCAGAGCCCTCCTTGCACTTTACCTGAAGTTGTTTTTCACTTCAAGGGGATCCTTACGGCTGAATTTTTCAGTGGTTCTTAACCAGTTTTGTGCCCAGGCCATATGCTTGCACACATGACGCTGCCCTCCCTGATAATGAGCCTAACAAAAGCATTCATTCAAAGAAACCTCACTTTGGAAGAGGCCTTGGGTAAGCTTTTTGCAGCCTTGTGGCTCTCTGGCTGCTTTGGGCTACTGTTCCCATTGGACGGGAGTTGTAGTCCAAAACATCTGAGGAAGCCCGGCCTACTGTGTCAAAACAAGCGAACCATGGGCTGCGAGTGGAAGCGTGGTGTAGTGGTTAAGAGCAGTGGACTCGTAATCTGGTGAACCGGGTTTGCTTCCCCACTCCTCCACATGCAGCTGCTGGGTGACCTTGGGCTAGTCACACTTCTCTGAAGTCTCTCAGTCCCACTCACCTCACAGAGTGCTTGTTGTGGGGAGGAAGGGAAAGGAGATTGTTAGCCACTTTGAGACTCCTTCGGGTAGTGATAAAGCGGGATATCAAATCCAAACTCCTCCTCATCATTCAAGCAACGTGTGTTTTGTAGCGCTCTGGGATTTTCCCATGATGCACCCACTGCGTGCAAGGAACAGTCACCTCTTCGTACCCTGTATTTTGCTCACCTATCCCGATGTGGCTGGTAAGATACAACGGAACACATTCTGGGGTGTTTTGTTTTTCCACCACAGAGCCTCAGGAACGGCTGGTTCTGGTCCAGTCTCAGAAGGCACCACACCCTGCCTCCCTCTGGGTGGGAGCATCAGTCTCCTGCTGCCACTCGTGGGTGGGTGGGAGGATGTCACATGGCCATAGGCAGGTGCAAAAGATGTTCCCCTTTTGCTCTGGTGTCTCCTGCTGACCAAAGCCAGCCGTTCTTGTTCCACAGCTGCCCACACCATGTCCTCTGGCTATTGGCGTCAGAAGGAGAACAGAAGTTGTGTGACAGCTTTTCAATGTGCCAGAGGCTGCCCCCACTTTAACCAAATACTCTGGTTGTATTCAGGTGTTACTCCAAACTGGGGCTGGCCCTACCGTTGGGCAGAGTGAGGTCACTGGAAGCGACAGCAGGGACATGTTATCAGGGGCTCGCAGCTGGCCTCGCATCCATTAAACTAGGCCGTTAACCAGGACAGGACAGGATCCCATCTCCAGGATCAAAGCAAGAGACCTGTGTCAGCTTCTGTGTGTGGAATTGCAGGAGGTGGGGGCAACCATCGTGGTCCAGTTTCTCCGGTGGACCCTGTTCAAAGCCATGTGGGAATAATGGGGAGGCTTGGGGCCAGACTTGCCTCCAATGTCCCTGGCACACTCCATCCCAGATGGGGGAAGGCCTGGAGAGGGATTCTAAGTATTTTCGGTTCAGCGTGCCCCCTGCAGCTGGAAGCCCTGATACTGAGGAAGAGTGCAAGCATCCATCATGGTCTCTAAGAGAGGAAAGAGCTCCTATCCTTTCTCTCAAGATGCTGAGCAAGGCCCATTTGCCCCACTGGCTTTCCACAGAGTACATGGCAGGGAGAGTTCCTAAAATCTCAGCCCCTTTCCCAAGCAAGGCAATGAATGGCTCCAAGAGTATAAGATCATGTGAGGAGCTTGGCTGCTGCCTGAGACTGTAGGTCCAGTATCCGTTCATTACAGCACATCCTCCCGACGTTTCTCCAATGAAAAAAGGGGTGTCCTCCTCCAGGTAAAAATAGGGAATCCTGTTCTATCTCCTCCACCGTTTCTCTGATGAAAATAGGGATGTCCAAAGGGAAAGTGGGACATTCCGGGATCAAATCAGAAACTGGGACAGCTTCTGTCTTTTCAGGACTTTCCCCTGGAAAATCAGGACACTTCCCAGTCCGGTGCCTCTGGGAAGCTTGCAAGCAGGACCTGAGCGCAGCCACACTCTCTCTCCCTGGTGATGCCCTGCAGCTGAAAGGTGTGCTGCCTCTGACAGTAGGATGTTGCCATCATGGCTGGCAGCCAGGCCTTTCCAGTAACCTAGCTGGGATCGCTCAGCTCTGGAAACACTTCTGCGGGCTGCTAGAGCAAGCCTTCACGATGAGGGTCTTCTCCTTCCTTGGGTGTGTGTTTTCCCCCCTGACCCCTGTGCTTTGAGGGCTTGGCCAGGCTTGCTCTTCCACACCTGGCCACCAGAGGGCCTACTACTCGTCCTGTGCTTCTCTCCCTTGAAGGATCCGGCCAGCAGCCCATGGGGGGGTCTTTCAGTGGCCCCTGGAGGTGGTCAGACTGGGAGGTTGCAGGGCTGCAGGGCTGGCAGCCCTCTGTTGATCTTCCGCACTGCAGGAGTCTTTCCGCAAGTCATGGAAGAGGAAGTGCAGCTTTCCCCGCAGAAGCTGTTTGTAGGTCCCAAAGATTGTCCTAAGGTTTCTTTCAGGAATTAACTGGGAGCTGCTCTCGGGCTGTGCGGTTGGATTCTGTTCCTAGAATGAGAAAAAGACAAGTGTGGGGGTGCCTGCCAGGGCTAACGGCCACAGTGAAAAAACATTATTTTTTGGTAAACTGCTTTGAATTTTTTTAAAAAAACAAGCATAAATTTTATGAAATAAATAAATAAATCTTGAATGCAGGATGATAAAAGGTCCTGGAAATCAAGCCTTCTGAGGAACAGTTGCATACTGTCTCACCAGAGTGGTACATGCTCTGGATATATCCTGCTTGGACTACTGCAATGCTCTCTACGTGGGGCTACCTTTGAAGGTGATTATGAAACTACAACTAAGCCAGAATGTGGCAGCTAGACTGGTGACCGGGAACAAATGCCGGGACCTTATAACACTGGTCCTGAAGGATCTTCACTGGCTCCAAGTACATTTTTGACATAAGACATTCAAAACCAACAAGCCTGCTATCCCAACCTGGTCAGCCCCCTAAAAACTCCGATACCCCGGGGTGTGCACTATCCTGCGCTATCTCTGCAGCTTTCTTATAGCACCTGGAAGCATAGATTTGATCCAAGGTGGGAAGAATGCACCCAATTATTCTCTCCGCAGTCTTTACAACCTTGGACAGCATTGTTTTTTCCCTGGAGGGCAGCTGAGAAGGATGCAACAGACATGCACCAGATGGAGGCTGGATGAGAAGGACGCAACAGCTCGGGATGCCCTGCAGGACCCCCCCAAACTGCGCTCAAGGAGACAGGCCCCCCGGGCACAGCCCGGAAACATCTGAAGGGCTGCAAGTCCGTCCCCCCTCCATCCCTGCAATCGAGGTCAGCAAAGCAGAGCCATGCCTGGGTGCAACAACAACTTTCGCTGTTTGTGATTTCCAGTAACTAGCATTCAGAGACCTACTGCCTCCAACAGTACATAGTCAGAGGGCATTGCAGATATTATTCCCCATGGATTTGTCTAATCCTCTGTTAAAGCCATCCAAGTTAGTGGCCATCACTACACCTTGCGGAAGCAAATCCCATAGTTGTAACTATTTTCTGCAGTGGCTCCCTGTTTTGGAATGCTCTCCCCAAGGAGTTTTGGCTAGCACATTCATTATACACCTTTAGGCACCTGGGGAAAACATTCCTCTTCAACTAGGCCTTGGCTGTTCTTGTTCTTGTTTTTATCATGCGTTTTGTGTTTTTATTTTGTATTTCATGTTGTGAACCGCCCTGAGATCTACAGATGAAGGTCAGTATACAAATTTAATAAATCGTCATCATCATCCTGGGGAAGCCCCCTTTGGCCTCTCACCTGCCACCCAAAGTTTCGGAGCTGCAGGAGGAAGGAGCTGGCTTTCTCATAAAGCTGCTGGAGCAGTGGCGAGGCGCAGCCCCGGCTCAGCTGGTTGTGGGCGGCTGCTGTGCCATCCACCAAGTTAGCCAGATCACGGAGGGTTTCTCGCCCTTTGTCTTGGTTCTGAAAGAGTAAGAGAGAGGGGCAGTCGTTGGGTGATTCTGACATTTCTTATTTATTGGTTGGTTGTTGTGGTCCTATCTCAGCTTTGCTCCATAGATCTGAAGGTGGTGTCCAGAGTTCTCCCTGCCTGTGGCCCAGTATACCTGAACGAGCATCTCCACCCCCATCGTTCAGCATGCACACTGAGGTCCAGCGCCGAGGGCCTTCTGGCGGTTCCCTCCCTATGAGAAGTGAGGTTGCAGGGAACCAGGCAAAGGGCCTTCTTGGTAGTGGCACCCACCCTGTGAAACGCCCTCCCATCAGATGTCAAAGAAATAAACAACTACCTGACTTTTAGAGGACATCTGAAAGCAGCCCTGTTTAGGGACGTTTTTTATGTTTGATGTTTTATCGTGTTTTTAACACGCCCAGAGTGGCTGGAGAAACCCAGCCAGATGGGTGGGGTATAAATAAATTATTGTTATTGTTATTATTATTATTATTATTATTATTATTATTATTATTAATCCTCGCAGCAAAACTGTGAGATACGTAAGGATGGGAGATTCAAACTCTGCTCTCCCAGGTCCTAGTATGTCATGGACTGGCTGGACGCAAAGGAACCAGCTCAGGAACTCAGAGCCTGGGGATTGGTGGCGGGATAAGGGTGAGTGAGAGTAAACTCCTTTTCCGTGTGCTTCTTCTGGTGTAATCAAAGCAGTACCACAAGAAGGTGGTGTTGCCTTGCAGGAGTCAGATTAGATTAAATGGAAATGGAAAGGCACCCTTAGAAAGGAGGCAAAACAACCCAATGAGGACCAAGCATCTGTGGCTGCACAATAGGGGGGGGGCTGTTGCAGGGTCTGTGCAGAATGGGGTATCCTAGACTGTGGCGGATCTACATTTTGGGGGGTCCTGAAGCTTGAGCAACTAGCAACGAGGTCTGGGTAAGCTTGGGGTCAGCAACCTTTTTGAGCTGCGGGCCGGTCCACCGTCCCTCAGAGCATGTGGTGGGCTGGACTATATTTTGGGGAACAATATGAACAAATTCCTATGACCCACAAATAACACAGAGATGCATTTTAAATAAAAGGACACATTCTACTCATGTAAAAACACGCTGATTTCTGGACCGTCCACGGGCCGTATTGAGAAGATGATTGGGCCGCATCCGGCCCACGGGCCTTAGGTTGCCTACCCCTGGGGTAAACCCTGTTACCTTCTTCAATGGGGTTGTTCCACAACAGATCACTTTTTAAAATGATAATAATAATAACTGCCACATCCCAGATTTTGATTAAAGTTGCTGTACTGGATTGTCTCATAAGTCAAAGTCAACACAGTGAATAAATATTTCCTATGCCTTGTGGTTTTCGATTTGTGAGGGGGTGAAAATTAAGGAAACATTATATGCATGGTGGTAAAGGTAGAGGTAAAGGGACCCCTGACCATTAGGTCCAGTCGTGGCCGACTCTGGGGTTGCAGCGCTCATCTCGCTTTATTGGCCGAGGCAGCCGGCGTACAGCTTCCGGGTCATGTGGCCAGCATGACTAAGCCGCTTCTGGTGAACCAGAGCAGCGCACGGAAATGCCGTTTACCTTCCCGCCGGAGCGGTACCTATTTATCTACCTGCACTTTGACGTGCTTTCAAACTGCTAGGTTGGCAGGAGCAGGGACCGAGCAACGGGAGCTCACCCTGTCACAGGGATTCGAACCGCCGGCTTCTGATCGGCAAGTCCTAGGCTCTGTGTTTTAACCCACAGCGCCACCCGCGTCTATGGTGCATCACAGAATGGTGAAATTGACTCATTTTTTAAAAAAGCAATGTGGACTGAAGTCATTTCTGGGGCATGGGTTCACAGAAACCACGCCTGTCGTTCAGTCGTGTCGCTAGAATGCACCACAGCATCATCCAGGCGACCTCAGTGAGCATTTCAATTCCGGCTATTCTGATTATTTCTAGTTTTAGTTAAGTATTATTTTTTTTATTTATTTACTTGATTTGGGGGCGGCAGCTGCCCTCCCCTGCCCACCTGGCTACGCCCTCTTCTGGGCCCCCCTGGAATTAGGGGCCTTGAAGCTGAACCTTCATTAGTTTCATAGTAGAGGAAGAAGAAGAAGAGTTTGGATTTGATATCCCGCTTTATCACTACCCGAAGGAGTCTCAAAGCGGCTAACATTCTCCTTTCCCTTCCTCCCCCACAACAAACACTCTGTGAGGTGAGTGAGACTGGAAGACTTCAGAGAAGTGTGACTAGCCCAAGGTCACCCAGCAGCTGCAGGTGGAGGAGCGGAGACGTGAACCCAGTTCACCAGATTACAAGTCTACTGCTCTTAACCACTACACCAGACTGGCCCCTGGTCCTAGAAGATGCCATGGCCGGCTAGGAACCTGAGTGTGAGCCCTCCAGCCTACCATGGCATCTTATTTTAGGTCAAATGCTTGTAGCATTTGGATTAAAGCCGTCACACCTCCACAAGCCCAGGCCCCAGCCCTTGACCCATAGAGGGTGGGTTGGTCATTTTTACATACTCACTGTCTTTGCCATCCACTCTCGGAGGCTGAACCCAACCAGGGGCAGCTGCACAGGCTGCTGAAGGAAGGGGAGTTCCTCGCACTGGCTCTGTGGAAAGGACAGAAAACCCCTGAGAGGAGAAGCAACCAGGCCAGTTGGCAGGAATGGCCAAATGCACAGAGCAAATGCAACCACCTGGCACCTGGCCCCAAACAAGTCACACCCCGCAAATGAGGTGCAAAGCAATTACGGCCAAACTTCATTGGTACCCAAAAGAACATGGTTTGGGGCTGTAGCTCATCTTTCCATTGATATATAATTTTATGGTTTTACTACAAAAAAAAGTGGTGTTATGAGCCATCATTGCCAAAACAAGATGACACCTGATTGGCTGCCTAAACACTCCTCTTGCTGGTTATTTGGCTATAACTTTTGATAGAATACAGATAATTGAACATTCTTTGTTGCATTACATTCTTCATTAAATTATCTTTCCATTGATATACAGTGGTACCTCAGGTTACAGATGCTTCAGGTTACAGACGCTTCAGGTTACAGACTCCGCTAACCCAGTAATAGTACCTTGGGTTAAGAACTTTGCTTCAGGATGAGAACAGAAATTGGGGGGCGACAGCGGGAGGCCCCATTAGCTAAAGTGGTGCTTCAGGTTAAGAACAGTTTCAGGTTAAGAACGGACCTCTGGAACAAATTAAGTTCTTAAACTGAGGTACCACTGTATAATTTTATCGTATTGCCTCAAAAAAAAAAAAGTGGTGTTATGAGCCATCAAACCTCATAAACACACTTTCTCCAAAAGGTTTCCACAATTTTGGCCACTAGCGTAGGCACACGGTTCTCTCCCTGCATTTTATTCACACAACTACAGTGGTACCTCAGGTTAAGTACTTAATTCGTTCCAGAGGTCCGTACTTAACCTGAAACTGTTCTTAACCTGAAGCACCACTTCAGCTAATAGGGCCTCCTGCTGCTGCTGCGCCGCCGGAGCACAATTTTTGTTCTCATCCTGAAGCAAAGTTCTTAACCTGAAGCACTATTTCTGGGTTAGCAGAGTCTGTAACCTGAAGCGTATGTAACCTGCAGCGTATGTAACCTGAGGTACCACTGTACAGGAAAAAGTGGCTGCCCCAACACTGTGCTGTGTGGTTAAAAATTCTACTGAGCTGGCTGGGGCTGATGGGAGTTGTGGTCCAAAACATTTCGGAAGCATTAAACTAGGGTTTCCCAAACCTGGCTGTTTTTGGACTACAATTCCCATCATCTCTGACCACGGGTTCTGCTAGCTAGGGATAATAGGAGTTGTAGTCCAACAACAGCTGGAGACCCAAGTTTAGGAAACCCTGCAGTAGACTGAGGAAGGTTGATCTAAATAAACAAATAGTGTCCTTCCTTGCAGCTGAGCAGTATTATCAGGGCCGGCCCACCCATGAGGCAAGGTGAGGCAACTGCCTCAGGCGGCAGGATTCAACAGGCAGCAAGTCACAGTATCAATCTTTCTCCCTTGTTCCTGATGTAGATCTGCCCTCACCCCTTCTTCTTTGGTGGGGGGAAAGGAGGCCCCATTTTGGGGTCTGACTCAGGCACCAAAATGTCTTGGATGGCTCCAAGTATTATTCTGGGCCACCCACCACATGCCACCCACTCAGTGAGTGGTGCAACCTTAAGGAAAGTCTATGGCAGCCAACAAAAAATGCCAAGATTCCGAGGGCCCCGATCTGCCCGGGTGAAGTGAAACGGCATTGCTTACCACTTTGTCCTCCAAGTCCATGGCTTCAGTAATGTACTTCTGGATTAGCCTCCTGTCACAAACCAGCCTGGTGGGGCTCATCTCAAACAGGTCCAAACAGAGCAAGAATACAGTGAGGAGGAGGAGGAGGAGCCCTAAGGGAGGTTTGAGGGAGGAGAGACAAAAGGATAGATGGCCAAATGTTTGGTATCCTCTGAATCAGCTTGGCAGGTATTCTCCCTAGACTTCCTTCCTTCCTTCCTTCCTCCCTCCTCAAAGAGGTTCTCCCCCTCCTCATTTAACACTGGGTTTTCCTCTCAGGTCAACCTACCTCACAGGGTTGTTGTGGGGATTGAACGAGGAGGACAGGAAACCACAGACACCATATTGAGAGCCATGGAGGAAAAGCTGAGATATAAATGTGATGAATAATGATGATAAAGTTAGGTGGGACAAGGAAACCCTCTGCCCTGTGGGAATGTTCAGGGATGCAGGAGAGGATATATTGTCTGATTATATCCAACTTGTGTTAACAAGTTCCACAATTTCAGCAGAGTAACATTCTCTTCTTTTAAATCTGCAGTGGCTGCATTTGCTCAGGCTCGCTAAAGCCGCTATAATAACTGTTCTGGTATTTTCCCCTTATTCCCTCATAAAATAGAAGAGACGACACAGTCTTTTACAAAAGTATAACAAGAGTTTACTCACATTCTGTTCACAATCAGATCCCAGAAGGCAGACTTAGCTTAATGAAGTAACATACACTTGGAATCTATCTCTTAAGAAGACAGTCCCTTTGTCCTCTCTTGGCTGGAAGCCAAGAGGGCATCTTTCGCTCAGTAGATGTTGTGTCTTCAATGCATGTGGTGAAAGAGAGAGAGATGGCTGCCCTGTCCTGTGCTTTTGTCATTACCTGCACAGGTGAGGCCACACCCACCTCTAGTCACATGCAGAGGAAGTCTGTCCCAGCCCAGAAGGAAACAGGAAGTTTACCTGCTGGCTGGACAAACATCCCTCCCCATGTGTAAACATGTGCACTCTAGGAATGTTGTACTTGACTGCTCTTGTGTTTTACATCCCACATGCCCCAGGTAATGGGAGGCTGAATTAGGGTGAGTTTGCGGGCAAAGGAGCTGTCCACAGACTCCGCAATTACCTTGCCAGTCCATTTCCCAGTTAAAATTGCCTTTCCAAAGCTGAGCTATCAGGCAGATGACAAGGACATAACAAGCACCTCTGCTTCCTACGCACAGAGATTGTATGTCCAGTATACCTGAAGGAGCGTCTCCACCCCCATTGCTCTGCCCGGACGCTGAGGTCCAGCGCCGAGGGCCTTCTGGCGGTTCCCTCATTGCGAGAAGCAAAGCTACAGGGAACCAGGCAGAGGGCCTTCTCGGTAGTGGCGCCCACCCTGTGGAACGCCCTTCCAGCAGATGTCAAAGCGATAAACAACTACCTGACATTCAGAAGACATCTTAAGGGTTCAGGGAAGTTTTTAACGTGTGACATTTTACTGTATTTTTGGTTTCTATGGAAGCCGCCCAGAGTGGCTGGGGAGGCCCAGCCAGATGGGCGGGGTATAAATAATAATAATAATAATAATTATTATTATTATTATTATTATTATTATTATTATTATTATTTGCACACACACACACCTCCTTTGACCCAGAAAAAAAATGTTCTGTGTATGAATAGAGGACCAGGATGATGGACTTCAGACATCATTGGTTCAGTGTACAAAGGGGTGGGTGCCTTCTCCTTCCTGTTCAAACACCTTCCAGTACTGTATTAATATTTGCTGTATCCGAAGCTGAGATAACCCGGCTTCACTTCTGAAATGGTGCGTTGTGCACACGCCATGGCTTAGCAGCTGAACATGTGAGGCTGCAAAAGTGCCTCTGAGCATGTGCAGAGAGCCTGACCCTCAACACAGAGAAACCTTAAGCAGACCTCACAATCTGAGGTGGAGGGAAAGGTCACCTAGAGGAGAGGGTGAAGGTTTTAGGTACAGCACTCTCCATCCACCCTGATGCTGGAAATAACAATTTCAGTTTCGTTATTACTTCTCCAGAATTTTCACCGCTGGCCTGAACTGGGCTTCATGAAAACAAAACAGGATCCAAGTTCTTTCCTCTGCTAATTAAAAAGACATCACCCAATGAACTAAATCTTACGCTGCAATCTTGTAGCCACTCACGAGTAAGACCCACCAAATTCTGGAGGACTGATTTTGGCACGCAGAGGGTTGTACTGTTAGTCAATGACCCACATGACCATTTGTCAATTAAGGAACTAGTCAAATGAACATGCATCTGCATACAATTAAGCAACATTTCTGGGGGCAGGGAGCACCACCCTGCTTTTTAGAGAGGCGCTGCTGTGTGTAACAGCAAGACTTGTCCTTGGGGAAATCCATAGTGGAGAGGAAGTTCTGGATAGAATGGTAGAGTTGGAAGGGACCCTGAGGGCCATCTAGATCAACCCCCGCTCCTTCTCAGGATGCTCTGCACTGAAGGCACAGCCCCTGAGACTCAGTCCGGCCTGCCAGAGTCAGACCCCTCGCTCCAGCCCATGCACAGAGTGCCTTTCCCTCCAGCCATTTAGGACTGGGGAGAAGGAGGGCTTCCAGCAGAGAAGGGTGTGCGGCTGACCCATAGGCCAGTCTCCCCAGGGGTCCTGCCTGTGTCTTCCGAGACCCCTTGGGGCGAGCCCAGCACTCACGGTTCAGCTCCATGCCCGGCTGGAAGCCTCCTTGTCACAGCATCTTCCTGCCAGGGAACAGCGGCTGCCTCCTAGCTCCCGCCTGGCTTCCATGGACGGTGCCTTGAACGGTGCCACAGCCACGAGGGCAGGCCAAGGGGGCTCCGGCGGGCTTTCTGCGTAGCTGCCGGCACCTCCAAGCCAACGCTGCGCGGCTTCCTGTTGTGAAGCTGCTGGTGACCTCTGGTCAACGGCTTCCGAGCAGCAAGCCCGAGCCTTCAGGAAGACTTCCCACTTCCAGACATTTCCTCCTTGGCTGACGGAGGAGGCAAGGAATGACAAGGCCAGCTGGCTGGCCAGCTGGCTCCCTGGTGCGAGAGTTTCACACAATTGTAGAGTCGGAAGGGACCCCTGAGGGTCATCCAGTCCAACCCCCTGCAGTGAAGGAATCTTTTGCCCAGCGTGGGGCTTGAACCCACGGCTTCGAGATTAAGAGGCTCATTCTATACCGTGGCCGTTCCTCGTGCTTCGGGGCCAGATGCACAGTCCTGCTGCACCTGCTCGCCGCAGTCGGTGAAATTGGGGGGTTCTGGCAAGCACCACAAAACCTGGAGCTGGACTCATATGGCCTCGTGATGATGAGCCTGGTGTCCGTCAAGTTTCCCCTAGTCTGGATGCATCTGTTCCAAAAGAACTAGCAAAAAAGAGAGAAAGGAGTTGAGAGATGACTTAACCTGGGGAGAAAACAGCAAAGACCTGATGAAGAGAGCACAGCAGAGGTTATATTTTCTGAGAATCCTCCGGAAAAATAATATCGCAAAGGACCTGTTGATGGCATTTTACCATTGTACTGTTGAGAGTATATTAATTTATGGTCTCTGTGTGTGGTTTGGGAGCTGCATGGTCAGGGGAAAAAACAATGCTGTCCAGGGTTATAAAGACTGTGGAGAGAATAATTTCCCACCTTGGATCAAATCTACGCTTCCAGGTGCCATAAGAAAGCTGCAGAGATAGCGCAGGATAGTGCGCACCCCAGAAATGATCTCTTTCAGCTTCTGCCTTCTGGAAGAAGGTACAGGGTTATAAAGACTAGGACTAGCCACCTGAGAAACAGTTTCTATTCAAATGCGATTTTGGTTTTAAACGCAGTGTAAGGTAGTCTCTATGGGAGTATATTGTATTTAATTATGGGGTATCAGAGTTTTTAGGGGGCTAACCAGGCTGGGATAGCAGGCTTGCTGGTTTTGAATGGCTGATGTAGATTTTTTCAATTTCGTTGTTCTGTATGGGACAATGACAATAAAGCAACCCAGAAAGCTGCCTTATACTGAGTCCACCCAGTCTTGTATCATCATAATCATCGTTATGACTCCTGACTCTCCTTGCACCATGAGGTCCCAGGTTGGGTCACAAATCATGGAATCATAAATTTGGAAGGGATCCCAAGTGTCATCTAGTCCAACCCTCTGCCATGCAGGAATCTTTTGCCTAATGTGGGGCTCAAACGCACGATCCTGAGGTTAGGGTTCCCATCTCATGCTCTTTCCAGACTGAGCTATCAAATGGACACAGACGTGATGACTTTCACAGGGAGAAGCGCAATTCTCCTGGAGCTCTGAACAGCTTTGGATACCCACCAGCCATAGGCTGCGTTGACGCACTAGACCTTTCGACCACATTTTTAAGAACAGAAGAAGATCCTGCTGGATCCGGCCAATGGCTTATCTAACAGAGCATCCTCTTCTCACAGTGGCCAGCCAGATGAACCCAAACAGTGGAACCCAAACAGAAGAGCAACTCTCTCCTCCTGTGGTTTCTCCAGCAACTGGTATTCAGAAGCATCGCTGCTTTCGACTGTGGAGGCAGAGCACAGTCGTCCTGGCTAGTACAGTCGTACCTTGCTTGTAGTACGCCTTGCAACTCGAAAGTTTTGTCTCCCGAACACTGTAAACCCAGAAGTGATCGTTCCAGTTTGCAAATGTTCTTTGGAACCCAAACGTCCAACGCACCTGATGCGGCTTCCGATTGACTGCAGAAAGCTCCTGCAGCCAATCAGAAGCCGTCCCTTGGTTTTCGAACATTTTAGGAAGTTGAAAAACCAAGGTATGACTGTAGTCGTCAACAGCCACCTCCTTCATAAATTAGTCTAATCCTCCTTTTCAAGCCAGGTAGGTCCTGCTTCCAGGGGGAGTGAGGTCCCTGGGTGAAGGAGTGGTTTCTTTTGTCTGTCCTTAAATGAGGAGGGGGAGAACCATGTGTACTACCTTGTGCTCCTTGGGGGGAAAGTTGGGGTATAAATGCAGTGCAGTGCAGTGCAATGCAATATTGGCAGCTGGTCACCTCAGGCAGGGGACATTCTCAGCCCTATCTGGAGATACCAGACACCTGCTCTGCCACTGAGCTACCACCCTAGAGGCCTTCCACCCAGCCTCTGGCATGCCCTGCATATTTGGAATTCCCTGTGGAATTTCTTGTCCTCCAGCTCGGCCTGCCTGTGGCATGCAGTCCGCAACGCAAACTGTGCTTCCCGTCAGAGGCCTGCCCTGTTCCAGAGCAAGTGCCTGTTTGACAAGCCAAGCAAACAAACCCCTCTCTGCTCCTGCTGCCTCTCAAGAGCCACCCTGCTAGAGAGCTACCGTACTTACCTTGGTATGTCTCCGCTCTCATGTGCCCCAGGCCTGTGAGATCGGCCACCTTGAGAGCCGGAAGGGACCTGGGCCACCCCCGCCGTCTCTCCCATGGTTTGCCCAGGAACTGGGAGAGGGCTGCAGAGCTGTCCCAGCTGCAGCCGGCACCCGCTCAGGAGTGGGCGGTAAGAGATAAGGGAGGTCAACCACCTCCTCGTGGCACACGCAATACGGCAGATGGGCTCCTGTCCGGGCAGGGACGTGACGGGAGTCACATCTTGCAGTGGGGTGCGTGCGGGAAGGAAGGTCACACCCACCCCAAACATTTAAAGCACCACTGGCGCACATGGCAACCTTCCCCCCTGAATTCCAGGAACTGTAGTTTCCCCCCACATGGTGCAATTCCCTCAGTTGTAACAAACTGTGGTTCCTGCACCCTGAAAAACTACAGTTCCCAGGATTGAAGCGGCGTGGTGCTGCTTTAAAAATGCAGCGCATAGGGGACATTACCCCCCCAAACATTTCTCCAGTCAAAATAGGGACATCCCATTCCATAATAAAAATTTTACTATTTATACCCCGCACATCTTACTGGGTTGCCTCTGACGCTGACATATATGAAAACATAAGGTAAAGGTAAAGGGACCCCTGACCATTAGGTCCAGCCGTGATCAACTCTGGGGTTGTGGCACTCATCTCGCTTTATTGGCTGAGGAAGCCAGCGTACAGCTTCCGGGTCATGTGGCCAGCATGACTAAGCCGCTTCTGGTGAACCAGAGCAGCGCACAGAAACACCATTTACCTTCCTGCCAGAGCGGTACCTATTTATCTACTTGCACTTTGACATGCTTTCAAACTGCTAGGTTGGCAGGAGCAGGGACCAAGCAACGGGAGCTCACCCCATCGCAGGGATTCGAACCACCAACCTTCTGATCGGCAAGTCCTGGGCTCTGTGGTTTAACCCACAGCACCACCCGCGTCCCTCTAGGGGACATTACCCCCCCAAAAAACATTTCTCCAATGAAAATAGGGACGTCCCATTCCATAATAATATTTTTACTATTTATACCCCACACATCTTACTGGGTTGCCTCAGCCACTCTGGGGCTGACATATATGAAAACATAATCAAACATAATAAATAAAACATAATACAGTTGTACCTTGGAAGTCAAACGGAATCCATTCCAGAAGTCCATTCGACTTCCAAAACATTTGGAAACCAAGGCACAGCTTCCTATTGGCTGCTGAAAGCTCCAGCAGCCAATCCAAAGCCGCGGAACCCAAGACAGACATTCGGGTTCCCAAGAACATTCGCAAACTGAAACACTCACTTCTGGGTTTGTGGAGTTCGGAAGCCAAAACGTTCGGGTCACAAAGCATTCAACTGCCAAGGTACGACTTTAATACATAATAATACATAATAAAAACATAATAACATAATAAAACATTAAACATCCCTATAAAGGATTCCCTTCAGATGGCACGGGGGTCAGATAACTCTAAACCCTTCAACATTTCTCCAGTAAAAAGAGGGACATCCTAAGGAAAAGTTGGCCATTCTGGGATCAAATCAGAAACTGGGGCAGCTTCTCCCACATCAGGGGTATCCCTGGAAATTAGGGATACTTAGAGAGGTCTGAAGGGGCCTTAGTCACAACTCGCTATACCTTGGTTGAAACCGCTGTCACCTGCAAAAATAAGAGCTTGCCTCCGGGGTCCCTCAAAAAATGTGCCAGCTTGGAAAAGACTTCCTGGCAGGAGAATGCTAGAAAGATCTTGCTGGAAAACAGGAGAGGGCAACTGTCAGCCCGCAGGCCGGATGCGGCCCCCAGGAACTCTTCATCTGGCCCTCAACCTGCCTGCCTCGCTTCTCCACCCATGAAGCAATTAGGCTTGAAAACAGCCTCCAGTTGGAGACTCAAAAAGGGCTGGTTGCATTAGTCTGTTGCCAAAAAGAGCCTTGTGGCACCTTAAAAGCCAACAGATGTATTGGGGCGGCGCTGGCCCAACCAAGAGGCAAGGTGAGGCTACTGCCTCAGGTGGCAGAATTCACAGGGGCAGCAGATGCGGACGTCCATTTTTCCTCCCCCTCTTGTTCCTGATGTAGATCTTCCCCCACCCCTTCTTCCCTGGCAGAAAGGGGGACATCATTTTGGGGTTCACATCAGATGCCAAAATGTCTTGGGCCGGCCCTGCATTTGAGTCAAAATTTTCAGAAATTCATGCAGCGGTTCCCATTCATTTTCCTCCCCATGGACCACTTGAAAACCGCTGAAGGTATTGCTGGGCCGCCTAATTATTTCTCTGCCTGTTGTAGCAACAGTAATGCTCTGTACTCAATGCTGTCATTTTTTGCTTTTTTCCCCTTTTTGCTTCTTCTATTTCTTATATATTGCATTTTCTTATATGGCAGTTTGGATTCCACAGAATTCGTAACGCCATGGCTCTGGGTCTGCCAGCATAATCGGGCAGGCCAAAGAAAGCCTTTTTTCCTCCTTTTTCAACAGAGGTTTCTCCGCACAGCAGTTCTGGAAAATCACCACCAGATGGAAGCAGAAAATAATCTCTGAAGCCGTGGAAGAGACTGGATCCTCAATGATATGGGAAAGGGGCCGTTGCTTTCGGTAATGGGATGTCAGGGTGAGTTACAGGGCAGTTCGATGTGTGTTTACCTACTGTGTTCAGTGGGAAAGACTCTCAGGAAAATCCTATCGCAGAATCATAAAATCAAAGAAGAGGTTGGATGCATTGCAAGGGGGTTGGACTAGATGACCGTTGGGGTCCCTTCGAACTCTACAATTCTATGATTCTCTGATGTGGAGGAAAATGAAGGTGCTTAGGTATCATATGCTGCAGCTGGCTGGCTCCCTCTCATTCTCCTATTGGGTATATTTGCACTTTTCCTTGCACGAAACTAAGGCATATATCCTTTGGGGGTCTTCAATCCTTTGTGCGCTTACCTAGGAGAAAGCGCTACTAAAACTAAGTGGGTCTTACTTCTGAGTAAACATGAATCGGATTGCTCTAGAGTCGTTTCGTCAGCTTGCCAAATTATGCAATTTTATATGCTCAGTTATAAATGGTGCATTTTACGTTGTTTAAAATATAAAAGGAGTTTGGGTTAGATCAGCTGAATGTACTTCCATTTCCCCCAAGATTTCTAGTTGTTGACCCCTCAACCTCAAAAAACAAAAAAACCACCATTTCCCCTCCTGGTGAAAGTCCTTATCACCTGCTAATGTTGGCACTTCCACACCGCTATTAAGGCACAGCTACAGGGGTCAATTAAAAAAAGTTGGCAACTCTATTGGGTACTAATCTGAGTTCTTTGTTCCTGGAGAGCCAGACAAAGACATGTGTTAATGATCTGAGCTGTGATTTTCTAGATGTTCAATTTAATTGGAGCTGCCAAAATCGGGCCGGGGTTGTCAGATATCCAACTCTCTCTCTCTGTGCAAAGGGACAAAGCGAATACACATTGAGAAGATTTGCGCCAACTACCTAACATTTGTTTAGTGAAAAGCATGTGCTAAGCGTTGAAGAGAGGATTCGCCTGGCTGGGGTCAGTGGTCCCCTCCCCCTTCATCACAAGCCCTACCTTCCTCCTTCCAACGGGAGAGCTCACCCCGTCGCAGGGATTCGAACCGCCGACCTTCTGATCGGCAAGCCCTAGGCTCTGTGGTTTAGACCACAGCGCCACCCGTGTCCCGTTTGCACATAACAAAATAGGAGCCTACACAACACAAATCACTGTTGCTGTATGTAGGTCTTATTTTATTTGTTTTTTATCTTATATTTTAGAAATGTACATCCAGGTTTTTTTCCTTTAATTTTTTTGGGGCCCCCAAGGGAGTGGGACCCTAAGCTATAGCTTGTTTAGCTTATACATAAATCTGGCACTGCTCCATGGTTGTTTCTGAATGCCAGTTGCTGGAAACCACAGGAAGGGAGAGTTGCTCTTGCATTTGATGCCTGCTTGTGGGTTTCCACTGACTGGCCACTGGGAGAAGAGGATGCTGGAGTAGATGGGCCACGGGCCTGATCCAGCAGGCTCTTCTTATGTTCTTACTGGAAGCATCTCTCTACGATTTCCTATCAGGGTTTTTTCCTCTGTCCTCCCCAGAGATGCCAGGCATTGAACCTGGGACCTTTGGCATGCAAACCAGATGTGCTACCACTGAGCCAGGATTCCCCCCAAGCCCTTGAAATGAACTTCCTTAAATCTCTTCTCGTGTTCTTATCTTCTTAAGTGGTAGAAGCGTGTGTGTGTTTTGTTTTTGTTTTTGTTTTTTATTAATAATTTCCACATGTTGTTGTTGTTGTTGAGTTGTTTAGTTGTGTCCGCCTCTTCGTGACCCCCTGGACCAGAGCACGCCAGGCACTCCTGTCTTCCACTGCCTCCCGCAGTTTGGTCAAACTCATGCTGGTAGCTTCGACAACACTGTCCAACCATCTCGTCCTCTGTCGTCCCCTTCTCCTTGTGCCCTCCATCTTTCCCAACATCAGGGTCTTTTCCAGGGAGTCTTCTCTTCTCATGAGGTGGCCAAAGTACTGGAGTCTCAGCTTCAGGATCTGTCCTTCCAGTGAGCACTCTGGGCTGATTTCCTTAAGAATGGAGAGGTTTGATCTTCTTGCAGTCCATGGGACTCTCAAGAGTCTCCTCCAGCACCATAATTCAAAAGCATCAATTTTTCGGCAACCAGCCTTATTTATGGTCCAGCTCTCACTTCCATACATCACTACTGGGAAAACCATGGCTTTAACTATACGGACCAATAGTACAGACCCCTTCATGGATCACTGCCTTGCTGTGGCGAAGGGGCTTGAATAACTCAGAGAAGCTCTGAACTATGCCATGCAGGGCACCCAAGATGGACAGGTCATAGTGGAGAGTTTTGACCAAATGTGATCCACCTGGAGCAGGAACCGGCAAGCCACTCCAGTATCCCTGCCAAGAAAACTCCATAGACAATTTCAACATACAAACTATCAAAACCTATCATATTCACTATTCCGCCCCACCCCCTTCAAACCCTTCCTCCCACCCCAAGACTTCCCTCAGCTCCTCTCTCTGATTTCTCAGCACATATTATTCTCTGCGTGTTATAAAATTGTACATATCCTTACATTAACTATCTATCATGTTATCAACCAATAAATTTGTGTATATTTAT